GGAGAGATTTTGGTCGTAGGAATAGAATTTTGTGAAACATAACGAGTATCGATGAAAGAGTCAGTAGAACCAGAATCAACAAGAGTAGGAAATTTAAGAAGAGCAGAGATAGGTTCGGCCGGCGCGGCCGAATCGGACAAAGGAAATTCAGTAGTCAATGATATTACAAGAGATCGTTCAATGGAAGAAAGAGCGGACGCGTTGAGATATAACTCCCCAGGTGAGGTACGAACCTGATCAACGCAGCTCCCGTTTGGTACCGGGGAACAAGAGCTGCGGACTAGTTTTCCGATTCCTCTTCAACAACCTCGACGGTTGCTTCGGGGGTTTCTTCAACCTCGGCAGCACGGCCCTTCGATTCTCGGGCCTTTCGCTTGTTGCAGTCAGCAATCTGATGCTTACCACCGCAGAAGAGACAAAGGTTGTTCTTCATCCTTCTTTCCTTCTCAGAGGGAAGGACTTTCCCATCTGCACCAAGATGGTTGAAAGCGGGGCGCTGACCGCCGGATTGACCGGAGTTCGAAGAGTTCTGGGGCTTACCATTGTTGTTAGGCTTACCACCAGAGAAGGGTTTAGGCTTCGGCGTGAACGGCGCCGAAGAACCAGATGGCTGAGAGTTGTTTTGCTGGTTAGTAGAACCAGTCTTAAAGTCCGAGGAACCCTTCTTCGGGTTCCGAGCAACAAAAGGCTTACCAGCCTCACGCTTTCTAGTTTCCTCGCGTTTCCAATAACGATTGTCAATACGAAGAACTTCTTGACGATAATCGGCGAGCGTCGCCGGCTCGGGCAAACGCGCCATTTCGTCCTTGATGCGCTCAGCTAAGCCTCGTCCATAAGCCCATTTCAGGGCAGCAGAATCCCAGTTGGTACTAGCAGCCAGGGTGTTGAACCGGATGTTGTATTTCTGGATGTTCTCGGTTTCCTTCATCTTCAGATTACCGAGAGAATCTTCGGCCTCGCCTTGGGCGTCGTAAACGCCGAAATTATCCTGAAGCTCCTTTACAAGGGCTTTGAAGGAGGACGTCCAGGCCGGCAGCGAGTCGAGATCCGGATCGAGAATATCAGGGACAAACCATTCTTTGGCTGACCCACTGAGATAGGAAAGGGTGTAGTTCACCTTCCGTTGGTCGGTGAAGTACTTGGGACGGTCATTGAAGACCAGGGCGAGATTGACGAAGAACGTCTTGAGTTTTCGGGGATCCGAACCGTCGAAGACCTCTGGCTCCTTGACCTTGCTCTTGGATTCAGAGCTGTCAGAGGGACGGCCGAGAGCGGCGAGGACGGTACCAAGGGTCTCAATGGAACCCTTGAACCCCGAGAGGAGTTCCAACATAGCTCGTTGCTCGTTGGGGATGTCAGGAGAGATTGGGGAACGAGGTCCACCAGGTCCACCAGGACCGCCGGGACCGCCGGGACCACCAGGTCCACCAGGTCCACTGGGGTCACCAGGTTCACCACGCGGTAAACCGCCGGAATCGTCATCCAGATCGTCATGATTGTTGTCGGCGCCCGGATCGTCGGGGTCGACAGGAGGGTCTTGATCATCGTGATCACCGGTGTCCAAATCGAAGTGAGGAGGTGGGTCACGAGGAGATTCAGAAGCAGCGCGACGTTGGGGTTGTTTCCCCGTACGGCGGGCTATGGCTTGGAGGATTGGAGAATCAATACGAGTAGTTGAACGGCCCCGAGCCGGAGCGACCACAGGGGGTTGTCCACGGCGAGGGGTCAGGACTTGGACAGGTTGTCCGTCACCAGTGTACAATGTACTGTACTCGAATTGTTGTTCTTCTTCCATGGCTTCAGGAAGAGTCGACGTAGTAGGAACTGTAGCTGGACCGAAACCGCGATTACGGCGACGTGGTTGACCGATGGCAGAGATAGAGTCGGAGAATGGGGCAAATGATTGGGCTGTAGTGAAGAAAGTATTTTCTTCGGAGTTAGCTCTAGATTGAGCTCGAGTTTTCGGAGGCATAAAAAATGATATGTCAGTACGACGTTAACGGATTGAGTTTAATTATACTGTTAAGATCATGTACACCGTGTAACCGTGCCAAGGCCACAGGGTGTCTAAGTGCGGAAGACGAATGGGACAGTAGTGAAGTTATTAACAACACCGCCGTTACGCCGTTAGTCCCCGGAGAGCGAGAGTAGAGAGAGAGGAGCTAAGTAGCAGCCAGGTCGGAGCGGCGGTATCGCCGGTGACGAGGAGCGGACCAGAGAACGTTAAAGTCCTAAGGTCGAGGAGAACGTACTTCGAGGCGTTGAGCCTGAAGACTTAGAGAAGAGTTAAGTTGAGAAGGGAGATCTAAGTTGATAATTAAACTGAGGAACTACAGTAGCGTACAGGCAGTATTTATATCTTCGGAACGGCGCATCGGTGCGGAGCGTCAGACTAACTACTAGGAGCTATACGAGTAGTACCTGCAGGGTAGAGTAAAAGACAATAAGGAGAGACTAGCACGAAAGGATATGTGTAGCGAGAAAGAACAATAAGAGTGAGATTACAATAACGAGCAGATCTTCGGAGTACCGAGCGGCGGAATGGAGGCCCGCGGCATGGACTTGACAAGAAGTCGACGGCCTTAATGAGTTTGTCGATTCGGTCACCATCTAGAGTGTGGAGTGGAGGGAGACAGTGGTTCCCAGGGAGGTGGGCAATTGCGAAGTCTAAGTCTGAGAGCCAGCAAGCGGAGCCTGAGTTATGAAGCTTGATGTTCTCTTCAAGGGCTAGTGAGGCATAATGGGTGTTGGGAAGGTCCATGAGGTATTTGAGGTATCGGAGGCAGAGGGTTGCACAGCAGGTGCGGATGGGCATTATACCTGTTTCAGTGTATGGTGCAGTTGGCTTAGTCACCACCTATTTGGGACAGGCGCCATTCGGGGTTTGGAAAAAATTTTGAAAATTATAGATGCGATTTAGGTGTTTTATGTGCATTTCCGAGAGGAATAAAGCTCATTGATGTATTCTAGAGTCCCTGGCACCCCGATGCAATGTATAGATGATATATCCTGTTATCAGAATGGACAAAAGGAGCTGACATTGAGACACCCTTAGCTGACCCTTAGTGCAGTAGAGTGTGGTAACCCTAACCCTAATCACTTCCCAATTAGGAAGTGCGCCATTCGTGTGTAGCTTACTTTGGCAATTTTTACTTTGAGAGAAATTGCTCTTACAGTTCTCTTTCTGTATCTATTATAAGCCTTTCTGTAAGAGAGATAAGAAAAATACTGAAATTTGAGTGTGTCAGTCCGCTTGTTCAAAACTAGTGGTGACTAAGCCAACTGCACCATAGAGTGGTGTGATGACTGAGTTGTTTGACAAGCCAATCATGCGGCGAAGGAATCGGATTTGTATGTCCTCCAAGATCTGCAGCAGGCCGGCATCAGTGTCACGCATGACCTCGCAGCCGTTGGTCAAGTGGCAGTCCACTAAGGCAATGTACAGCTGCCTGGTAATGGCGGGAGGCATCCGGCGATTCCCAACAAGGAGGTCACAACCCGTGATTGCGCGTGCAGAGCCAATAGCAGAGTCGCGTTTTTTGGTATAGTGGGAGGCGAAGATATTGCGATGGGTGGATTGGAAGAAGGTGCCGACATAATGAACTACATCGCGGAATTTGAGGATCTCTGCTGAGAGTGTGAAGTGGGGGAGGACATGAGGCAGGTGACCAAAAATCATGACCCATGATTTGTCTGCGCTTATCTCGAGAGCATTGTTGTGGCACCAAGTCTCGAAAGAATCAAGATGGTGTTGAAGCCCAACTTGACCACGGGAGATGAGTACGATGTCATCCACATGTTCGAGGTGTGATATCATGACACTTGCAAGCTCCACGTCCTCAGGATCCAAGGACAGGTTGAAGGTGGAGAGGAATATGTTCCAGAGAGTGGGTGAGGAGGGATCACCCATAAGGACACCACTGAAGGCATGGAAGTTTTCAAACAATTGACCATAATGGGCGATGATGTAAGTCATTTGGTTGTACAGTGACCGAAGCCAGTCAAAGTACTTGCCAGTAAGGCCAGCATCGGAGAGTTTGTTCCATAAGGAACTCTGGTTGGTAGAGGGGAATGCGTTGGAGATATCAACAAAGGCAGCGTAGATGGTCTCGCCTCGAGAGTGCGCTTTCTCAATGACAGTGCGCAGAATGAAGGCGTTGTTGTTGGTGCGAAACCCCTCACGGAAGCCATTTTGCAAAGGTGGGATGGTGTGAGACTGCTCTAGAGCCCGGCACAGTTTATGATGGACCAGCAGGGAGGCGAATTTGAGAACACAGCTCTCGAGGGCAATGGCCCGGTAGTTGCAGGTCTTAGATGCATCTTTACCAGGTTTGGCGAGGGCAATGATGGTGGAGGTGAGCCATGAGGAAGAAATATCTCATTGTTCAATGGCACGCTGGAAAAGAGGAGGCGATCATTGTCGATGTCAATGAGGAGGTCGTAGGTGGCAGCATCGACACCAACAGACTTGGAGTGGGTGGTACATTTTAGGTATGATTTGATGGATGCAATGTCTTCGACACATAAGGGGTCATTGAAGGCGGGATGAGTTGCAGGAGGTGAAGGGAAAGGAATCGCAAGGGCACGAGCGTCCTCTGCAGCGGTATGCACAGGGTCAAGATAAGTCGATCTGTGGTGAAACAATGAAAGGGCGAGGGTAAATTTAATGGGAGCACAGGTTCAAGCTTCAACTTTGAAGTTGCAAAATTACATTTTCGCAAACCTCCACAGACACTCTACTGAAGGGCAAAAGCCGACGATTTGACATTGGCTGGTATAAGCTCGAGGACCTTTACACACTGTAAGCGAAGTTTGGAAGAAATTGTCATTTCGGTAAATAATCTTACGGGAAGTCATCCATTGTTTCTGCAATCACTTTGCTTGCAATGGTCATTGTGCAAAATTTCCTTTTAGAGTTGTCTATTTCCATTCCGACGGCGGAACAGGGTCACATCAATGACATCATTGCCTTATAAGACAAAAGGGATCTGGATGCAGCCCTTTCATCTAATGGTGACTCCAACTCCAGCCCTGAGCTCTACCTGTCCAATAGGCTCAAGCTTTGAATAATTTGGCTTAACCGAATGTCGGAACCATCTGCGATGCTATAAAGAGGCAAAGTTTTTGAACCACAAAGGCAGATTTCTCAACGCCGGTTCGGTATGTAGATATCCCTTGCTCATTTTCCCTGCAACGACGTGTATAGCATAACACTGAGACTCATTTTCTTTGCTTGTATAGTTCTGCAAACTCAAAAAACCAACAACGCCCAAATCATATTGCAACTGGATAAATTCGCGGGTCGAATTGAATTCTTCGTTTGGTCAGTATGCTACTGCTTCCAATGTTGACATTATATCGCATACAGCACGCGAACACAATTTCCCCATATCGCTCTACGTGCCCACCCTCCCTGCATTGCCACTGCATATCACTGCTCAAAGCTCAAAGTCAATCAGTAAATCCTGAACCATTCCTGTCACCATTTCTAAAATATGCTCCTTCCTTTGAGCCTCTTCCTTCTTCTTCTGTTTGACATCCTCGGATTCATTACTACACGCACCAGTCCTTTGATAGTCAACACTCGTGGTAAGTCATAGTAGGTTCAAGTGAGTTTGTTTCACGACCCCTCTGATGAAACATATTTCCAGTGAGTACAAGGATGCCCATCAGGATTGCAGTCAAGAACAAAGGTAGTGGTTATAAGACCCTTCGAAGACGCGACAGGCCCCCACACCCATTTCAGTCAGACGATGACCTGATCTTGGTCTTCAGAACACTTGTTGCCTTTCAGGTTTCTCGTGATGATGAAACTTCAGGACAACCTCCCAAACTATCAGTCAAGGAACTTGATATTCTGCGCAGTGGGGCACTGAATACCATTGACCAGAATTATCTCATAAAATTGGGCCAACCTGACCTTGTAGCCACATTCAATGAGGCACCAATCAAAGAGGTTGTAGTAGAGAGGTTCATTGATATTGATCGACTGCTTTTAGAAACAAAGAAGGCATTCGAACATCTGGGTGAATCAGGGGCAGCTAGTCAATTGATCATCGAGGACGAACTTGACTATTTCTCTCTCATGATGATCAGTATGCAACTAGAGTATGGCAAGGAGGGAAACCCAGTATTGCCTGGCTTGTGGGGGGAAGATTATGTGCAATGGCCTTCTATTTATAAGGACATGAAGGAAAAGAGAGGGCGGCAGCCAAATAAGACTATGCTGCAGATACTTCAAGGATCATATTATCATCCCCGAGTCCCTCCGAGTCGTCGCCCAAATCTTCAACCCATGTCTTGACACCTCTTCATTGGGGCCTTACCTACAGTACAGTTCTTATTCATTGTGTCTTCATTCACTACCTGCTTTCTCTCGTCGTCGCTGTGACAAGACTTTATGACATATTTGACAATCTGTGTTGTCTCCAACTACAAAGACGCAATTGTAGCGCAAAACTTAAGTGAACCGTCGACCCAGTTAAGGACAAGGAATTTGGCAAAAGACAAGTCCGAAGCCGATTCGACAGTTTATTAGAGACCGAGTTGCTAGTCAGGGTAAGATTGTCCTTGAATCGATGTTGTTATACCCCGAACCTGACCAAATGTATGATAAATTCAAAGAAAGGAAGATCAGAGAAAGATCACAGCGACACAAGTAATTCGTATCATAACAGAACTAAGCCCTGACACCAACACAGCCTGACACCAACACAGACCATCAACGCCAACCTACGCCAACCACACCAAAAAAAGGAATCAAAGATAGCAAGACATGATCTCCAATTCCAAACCTTCAACCTCCAATTGTGTGTTTATCCCAAAGTCCTCCTTTGGTGTTTAAATTGAGGGAGCACGCACTGTCCCGGAATTGGAGGTGATGCCTATTAAACATCAATATAAGGCAAATAATCAAATTATGACTGTCTGACATACTTCAATAACGTTGATCTGTGGGATGCGACTGGTGCTGGTGCTCACACTTCCGTGTTCGGCTATAGACACATAATCTCTATTGAAATGCACCACATACGGCTGGTCTTCACTCGCCGTATACTGCACATACCCTGTACTCCGGGTCTCATCATTCCGATCGATATGAAAATGCATCTTCACTTCTTGATCATAGCTGCTAAGCCGTTGTTCAGGGAAAGACACACTCTGCACAGTGTCAACTTCGCATAATTGGGCTACATCATCGCGAAACGCTTTTTCCACGACTTTCTTGACATGCTCTGTTTGTGCCTTCGAAAACCCGCGAGCTCTATCACCTTCGAAAATAACGTTCACTCGCCATTTAACAGGCGGGCGTATCTTCACGACATACAGAGTCGGGCTCTCATTCCCCACAAAGTGAATATATCCTCCGGTCGTGGCCGGTCCTCTTTCGCCCCCCACGAGAGTTCTGCCATGCGCCATCGTTCTCGAGATCCAAGTGATGTAAAACTCAATCTTGTCGTCCACTAATTCCGGAATTCCGTTGCTCGCAAATTTGATAGATATTGTGTCATGTGGGGATACATGAGAGCGGATTTCATCTTCAATATGCTTTCGGATTGTCCTTGGGGTTTCTGATTGGTGTTGTGCGTCGCGGTACATGTATTTGACTTCGACATCCCAGGAAATAGAAATATCCCTGCGGGCCAGATGAGGGTGTGATTCTGGATCGTCGAGTTCATCCTATAGATAATCGTGGGAGTCAGAGATAGAGTGAGATGCCAGAATGCAAATCAACATAACTCACCGTGCTGACAATGGGTAGAGCAGCAATGCACACCAGGGAAACGAGTCCAAGTATGAGAACGGAACAGACTTTGAAGGGCAAGCAGCCTGCAGTGCCGGAACGACGTGGATGAAAGTACATCGGAATAGATGACGAATTTTTTTTTTTGGCTGAACACAAAGAGCTGGGGATCTACCATGAAATAATGTCAAATCGCGACGTATCCTAGATATCAATTCGCGTTACTTTACCTTTGACCAGAAAGAAATATAATACACCAACGACCAGCGTTGGATGGAATTGAGAGCGAGACTGAGCGAGAAGAACTCAAACTAGGAACTGAGTGTGGGGTTCCAAGAGACCCAGACGACCTTATATATCCAGGATCCTGGCAAAGCAACTTGCGTAAAGGGTGAAAAAATAAGAAAAAAGATGGTGGCACTGGTATGGCCGGTCTGTATATGCTGGCAGCCGACCCTAGTTAGATCTGGTAGTCGATCCATTGCCCAGCGTGAGGGAATACATGGAGCCTGGGGAGACGGAGACGGAAACGTTCCATCGGAATGAAGAAAAAAATGAGAATAACTTGGTCTTCACGCAAGGGGCCTGTCCTATTCCAACTACTACGTCAAACGAAGATCCAAGTAGCACGGATTCCCTAAAGTTCAGTTTTTAGTGCATTCGCCCCACGTAAATCTCTACTCATCCTTGAGTCTGTTTTCCATGATATTTGGCCAGGGTTGTTCAATTCCTCAATCTCTGCAATATCCGAGTCGTCTCTTGCTCCCTGTTGGCACCGCCGCATCAGCACCTATCCGACGTGCGTCGTGCAGTATTGCGCAGTTTCGTGCATCGCATAGTCGTCATCATAGAGGGCCATCGTCACTTGAGGAAGTCATCTACGCAAAAAAACCGCAACTCAAGCTTCTCAAATTTCGGCAGACCCTCCGTTGCGTCCAAAGCTAGTAAGAAGTTAAGTTGAAGGCGAGGGCAACATATTATTTGGTTGCCGAGTCGCACAAACCTCTAGACCATTACACTCCATTACATTAATCGCGAGAACTTGAAGCTGCTTGAAGTTACTCGAAAGACAGGCTGGAGTATGCCATAATGTCGCATTCCAGATTAATACAGGCTATGCTGTGCCTGGTCTGTTGCTACCCATTGAAGGTTTCGGGTGGATCCTGGCAGGCGAACCTGGAAAATGAGGGTCAGACTGGGTCAGAAAGGCAATGGCTGGCAATGCCATTGGGTAATACCTCCAGACACAGGAGGACTAGGGAGGAATACTACTAGCATACTCCTCTGGGGCCCTACATCTTGGTTGACCAAGTTCTTCTCTCCAGTGTACTAATACTATCAACCTTTTGAAGATGAGGCCTGAGGGGATTGCCCGGTGCGGGAATACCCGGTCGGTTACGGCGGTTACGGCATTGATGTATATACCCTTACAGGTCACCCCTCCAAGCTCCAAGTGTTAACAAAATTTTGAAAATCGTCATTGAAGGTATGAACATTGAATGAAAGTCATTTCTGCGATATAACAAGCTAAAAAAGAAAACAATAAACCCTAACATACAACCGTTGCGCGCGACTCGAGTCCGGAATCCTTCCCATATCGCACTCTATACAACCCCGTGAGCTCGTTTCGGGAAGAAACGAGAATCTTGAAAGGTCGTACCCGAGTACGAGTCATCCGCGTTTCCTACCCACAATTGATGATGATAACAGTACAGAAAAAGAGATGCGATTTTAGCGCTCATCCTGACTTAGGTATGATCTTCAAAAGTTCGACTTCAAACTTGAGGGTCGAGTTAGCGGGTATTATGGGGGGGAAGCCGCGGGCACCATACGCCTAAAAAATTGATCAAGTTTCGGTATGATGAGAGGATTGACGACTTACAAAATCGGAACTCGCAGTCAAAAGCGCCTTCTGGCCTAATGAGAGTTGCGGAACACCCACGTCCCAACCCTTGATGACCTTTCCTACACCAATTTCCGTCTCAAATGGTTCGCCCCTATGTATTGAATTAATTAGCATCGCGTGTATTCCATAAAGTATCCAGAGAACGCACCTATCGCGACTTGAGTCAAACTTCTTCCCATCCACCAAAGTGCCAATGTAGTGTATCAATACAGTGTCTGTATATTCGCCGGCAAGAAATTCGTTGACGATCGAGTGAGATCGGATAATCAGAGAGCAGGAGAAGAGAGATCAATATGGATTAGGACTGTGAGAGGTTTTTCTAAACTCACCGCCCTTCTGAGGGAAGTTGACACCATCGCCGGCAGTAATAGTGTCGATAGTGACGCCCTAGAATAACAAATAAGATTTTGAAAAGAAAACGAGAAACGAATTTTTAATCCATGCAATCGCATGCATCGTGTGACATCGCGAGGCTGTATAGCTTCCTCGTGTACCCAGGAAGTACAGGACGAGCCAACAAGTCGATATATGCTCACATCGACTTCATCGCACTTCCTTTGCAACCCTTTTATCTACCCTTTGCCCGGTCAATTCAATCCAGCCAAAAAATCCATCATCAAGAAGTCGAAATGAACACTCAACTGCCTCGCTGACTGACTGAGAAAATTGTAATGAACGCTCACCATATTAAAGTCAAACCAACTGGAGACGAAGGAATTAGATGATGTAGAGAAGAAAAGAGAAAGCCCTTGCTGACGGAAGCGCTTTATAACCAGTAATCGTATGAATCAAGATTCTTCGATCGATCTGAACGGTCAGTGCGGAGGAATCTTGTTATCGATAATCGATGTAAATATTTCATTGTATATATACATATGATGATCACCCCAATTCAAGACGCAAGCGCAAAACTTGGACGTAAAATAGCAATGGTGTTGTCATTGGGAGCTATGGTTGGCTCGGAATAATTAGATCAAAAGTCAAGTGTAGAACTGGAAACAATGGGAAGCACAGAAATTCGGCATCGTCCACATCACAGTTTGATTCATACATCACAGGAAATTTCGACAAAGAGCAGACGAACTGACAATGTAATCCAATAATCATCCCTTTGACCTACCTTAATTGATCAGTATATTGCATGCGCAATCGATGAACCCGTCGAGGGCTTCGAAAATTGTGATGACCATCGATGAGCTTTCGAGATTTCATGAATCAAGACATAAACGGCTAATCGTAAAGATAACGTCTCTATCAGGATGGAATATGGGAATTCGATGGTGACGGAGGGTACCCATACATAATACCGGAGCCGGGGCGAATAAGAGCCAATAACGTATTGTGCGAGATCTTGGACTAGCTTGGACTTCATAACCAGCATGGATCGGTAAACCATGAGCTCAGCGATAAGAGTTGATTTCATAGGAGCTACATAAGAAATACTGCATTGTATATCGAGGCTCAGGCAGACCAACGAACGCGATCCACCACGAGTCCACGATGGTGATCTACATTCGCCTCAATAAGGCTATCAATAGATAGAAGAACTACATAGATTGCATCATTCGATACTAGTAGAAGCTTCGAAATTGAAGAGATAAGCTGTTAATGAGAAGAGATGAATATAGTACTAGAATTACTGTATACAGAACAAGGCAACTTTCGACCGAGAAAATGGATACAGATGGCCACACTGGGTCCGAGGAGGATGTCTTCGTGCTCTTTCACCAGGTCTTCTAGATGAGAAGAAATCGAAAGCTCATTCTGAGCTAGTACCCGCTGATACCAGATTAGAGGTTAGATGTTGAACTTACACACTTCTGGTGCGAGTCTGAGAAATAAAATAGTCAGTTGGTGATGTAGAAGCCGATGTCATTGATTGTAAGCCAAGGAAATATGTATCCTCAAGTTCCTCGGAAAGTTCGTAAATCTCGTTCTAGAATTTAACCTGGACGAAACTACCACGATAGTCGGATTACGCTGCGCAGCCGGCTGTTGAAGCAAGTGATCCCTACATAGAGGAAGCCGCATACACAAACATGAACGAGCTCAACACTGTGTAGGTGGAGGGAGACTACCTAGCATGTAGAAATAGGTCCAGTTAGGTGCAGAGGTTGAAGGTTTTTTCTCACGCGCCAAGGTTTGTAGTAAGTCCATGTCGGTATTCTCCGGAAATAGAAACCTGGAAGAGCAGGCTGCACTAATCAGTACTATCTAAGGAGCGGATGATATGAATGAACCTTTATAGACAACACCGTTGAGTTACAGGTGAGTAAGCTAAGTCACTCGAGAACCTTGCTTTCGACTTGCTTTGAACCTACTATACAGGTTCACTACCCTTATTGCCTAGCTCCGCAACGTGTACCGCCTGCAAGCAATGATCATCGTCCGGGGGCTGTTACCATGCATCATGTCAGTCAAGAAAGCTAAATTAGAGTTAGGCTTGAACAGACAAATAGATATTCCTACCTCAACAAAGAGCCCTAAGGTTGAACAACAAGGAGAGAAAGTCCTGTGGGTCAACTTCATCGGGTTAAACCTAGAACATTCAAAATCCAAACTATCGGGCGTACCTATATAGACTGCGGAAAGATAAGATTCGTGGTTGAAAGGGAGATTGGAATGATCAGGATGCATCTATCGATCGCAACGATTTCCAGAAACTGATAGCCAGACACAAGAAACTGAATATCGTATTTGGCCGAAAAGACGAAAAAGTGCACTCAAGAAACTGTGAAGTTGGCCGATAAATGTTCACCTTGATGGAAAACAAGGTTTTTGAAGTTCCACAGCATGACATTCATATGCGGGATCCTATTCTTGAATCAAGATACTCAAGCAGCTTACGCGTGTGTCCCCACAGAGAGGAATCCAATAACCTATATACAAAAGGGAGCAAGTGCGTATCAGTAGTAAACGCGAGGGAAATACACACCGCACATAACGACTGCCCACGCAAAAACTGACTGATCTTGGTATCAGTTGCGACGGCTCCCAAGATGCTTTGATATTAACTATTCGGAGTCCACTACTAGTCTACGTAGCCAAACTAAAATCTAGTTAGGGAAGTGATCTAGAATATATTCTAGAAGGAAAATATTTGATACTAAGATCATGTACGAGAAGGAAAGAGGAAAATTTGCAAGAATGATGACGACAAGATGAAGATAAGCGGAGGTTGTGTTGGATGAAGTTTCAAGCAGGGCGGATTGAGAGGTGGAGCAAAAAGGCAAGAGGGTATCAAGAAGGGTCTAAGAGGGAGGTGATAAGGCAACGATAAGTCGAAGATGATAAAGCGGTTAAGTGAGTATATTCCAAGACGAAAGCACGACCAAGATAAGTTGGATGAGCGGAATGCAAGATGATGATGGAAAAATCTAAGTACAATCAAACTACGGCAATTGATGAAGAGGATACATTGATTTGATTTATGCAACGAAAATGACGAGAACGGAAAAGCTGAGATAGACGGATCACATAGAGACGAAGAACGAGAAGCTACGCTGAGTGGGCAGGAAAGATCCCTTGTTCCCGGTTCAAGGACCTGATCTTTTTGGAGTCCTATAGAGCCAGTTGATGAAAGGTAAGCATCCTGAGCCGCGAAAGAAGTGGCAGGGGCCTACATAATTTTCGAGCCGATCGACCTAAGTAGGAGTGTTTAGTCAGTAGATTGATATTGGCGAAAAAAAGTACATACCTCAGTACTTGTATGTCAATACGTATCATCGGCCACTTCGCCTTTCGAGTGGAGGTCCGTTTGTTGCTATCTCCCGCTAATGATGACGACGAGGAGGTACCCTCATCAGACGTTGTCTTGCGCTTGCCTAGAGTTAATTCGAGTCGAGGCATTCTACTCTTTCTTTCTACATTGCTACCGAGAGTTGGCAAGGTAAGGGAGTCCTGAGGAAATTCTGAGTTCTTCGCTTTGTGGTCGGAAATCTGTTGGCGTTCGCTTTCTGTGCCTGGATGAATGAGTTGTATGAGCTGATAGGAAATGATGCATTTGGCAAACGGTATGACGGAAGAAGGGAAGACAAAAATATCAGCATGGAAACGAATGAGCTAAACCCACCCAGCAGTGTATCGATGTTCTCTACGGTAATCACCGCCGATATCCGCAGTGGAGAAAGTCCAGGCTTCATGCTGCTTGAGGAGTAGTATGGGGCTGTCGCTGGTCTGGGTATTGCGCCATCGAATGTCCTGGACGACCGACGGGACAGGCCACTGTGGGTCGGATGACCAGCGCTACCGTGCATACCAGCTAAGCCTGGATGGTAGAAGTCGTAGCTGACTGATGAAGGACGACCACGACCAAGGCTTCCTCTCCTGTTCAAGCTTCTTCTTCTCCTCGACTTTGTTCGTCGTTCGTCAAACACGTGCGGTGCAATACCATTTATGATCTCCTTCGGGGTAGGACGAAAATTGGCTATGGCTGTAGCCAGATCAGTTGTTTTTGGAACAGAGGTCTTATTCTGAATTTCTGGTTCGGAGAAAGAGGTTGGTAAAGAATCTGAATCCGAATTATTCGAATTGTCGGCGAGATTTAGGGTTTGAACAAAATCAAAGTAATCTTTCTCGTTGCTGATTATAGGCACGGTGTCACTGAAGCCAGCTCCAGGAGTAGACACGGACATGGTGGCAATTTGACTTCAACGAGGAGAGGGAGAAAGCAAGATTTCATAACCACTGACATCCATATATAATTGCCGAATGCAGATAAACAGGACAAGGCTGCACAGCCAAATGTATTCCTAGCTTACGTACGGCAGATAAGAAGACGTCACACGAAGTCACGCGACGTCCGGGAGATCGCTACGCGTGTTTTTCTTTCGCTCCACTATATGCTTCGCGTATTGGGGCACAGGTCCAACGAAGAAGCAATCACCAGTGTGCCATTTGGTGCTCGCGATATCAGCAGAAAGTGGAATCTGTCCATCTGACTCAAGCACTCAATGTCAAGTTGAGTGTCAACTGTGGAATCATAGTGTGGGTACAGCTGGGTACATTTATATAACTTCCTGTCTCTTATTTGCTCTCGCTCTTCTCCATGACACTCCCGTCCGGCTTTCCTTTGCCCACTCTTGACCGTCTAGGTGCTTCGCTATCACCCAACGTCAACCCGGAAGAGATAGTGTCGAAATGGTTCAGTGCATTCGCCAAATTAGCTGAAGCTGGTGACGTCGAAGGCTTATTCAGTTTGTTCATGTCAGAGTCCTACTGGCGCGACGTCCTCGCTTTCACGTGGGACTTCCGCACCTTCATTGGTAGCGACAAAATCAAGCAGTTCCTCAGAGATCGTTTGTCGGCTTCCAAGGCCAAAATGTTCAAGCTTCGAGATGATTACCTTGAACTGCAGCAACCCTACCCAGATATTGCATGGATTGGCTTCTTGTTTGATTTTGAAGTAGGGGATGTTGGAAAGGCGTCTGGAGTTGGTCGCTTGATGCCTCAAAGTGATGGAAGCTGGAAAGCGCACACTATTTTCACGAATCTTGAAGAACTGAAAGGAAACCCGGAGAAAGTCGGCGAGATGCGAGAATCTAGGATGGATCATGGACTTTGGTCAGCGCAGCGGCAACGAGCAGCGGCGTTTGAAGATAAGGAACCTATCGCTCTGATAATCGGAGGTGGTCAAGGCGGATTGGCTGTTGCTGCGAGGCTGAAGATGCTTGGTGTTTCTGCACTAATCGTGGAGAAAAATCCGCGAATTGGAGACAATTGGCGGAATCGCTATAAGGCTCTGTGTTTGCACGATCCTGTCTGTGAGTGGATCGAGTCTGGCAAATATGGCAGCCTTGATGTTGAAAATTTGTTTTACAGGGTGTGACCAACTTCCATACTTCCCGTAAGCCTCGTTTTTCAACCCCTCTGTGAAATGAATTCCATGAGTTATTGACCCCTTGCGATGCCCTTACAGGTTCCCGTCCAATTGGCCTATCTTCAGTCCAGCTGATAAGGCTAGCTTGCCGACTTGTTTTACTCCTGAATTTGACTTATGTATTTCGCTCACACAGATCGCTGGGTGGCTAGAATACTATGCTGAAGCGATGGAGTTGAATGTATGGACGTCCTGCGAAGTAACGAAAGCTGTTCGCAACGAAGCGAGTGGCAGTTGGACTGTCATTGTCGAATATTCCTCGGATAGGAAGGAACGCACCTTTTATAACATTAAACATCTAGTGTTTGCCACAGGATTTAATGGTAATCAGCCGAAAATTCCGATGTATCCTGGCACGGTAGGCGGTGGTTTTGTTCGAGCATTAGTAGTCGTCTCAACAAGCTCTATCTAGGATTCATTTAAAGGACAGATCATTCACTCGAGCCAGTACAAAATGGCTTCCGATTTTGCAGGTAAAAAAGTAGTTGTGATAGGGGCATGCACTTCAGGTAAACTCGACCCTTATAACTTCCTCGGAAGCCTCGTTCCAGCTAAATACCATTATTCCATCCCAGCTCATGATATTACTGCCGATGTTTACCATGCGGGCATCGGTATGTATCGTTTTTCATCCATGCTACATAAATGTCACCCCTTCGTTTAGATGTGACGATGTACCAACGAAGTTCTACATATGTGATGTCCGCAGCCAAAGGTTTACAAGTCTATTTCTCAGGCGAGTGATTGTTTGAAACAATGTTTTCTCATCGACTCCTCATTACTCATCTCCCGATTGCACGTTTGTATAGCTCTTTACTCAGAAAACGGCCCACCAATAGAAGTCGCTGACCTGATCAGTGCTTCTTTCCCTAATGCTTTCTCGGTCGGCTTTGCACAGCGCACGACGGAGTTGATCGCGGGATTGGACAAGTTAGCTGTGCTCTGTCTTCTTCAGCTTATTGCTCAACCAATACGTGGCTGCTGATTCTAGGGAGTTGATTGAAGGATTATTGAGACGCGGTTTTAGAGTGAACAAGGGAATCGAAGGAACGGGTGCCATGGTGCTATACCTAACTATTGGATCAGGGTACTATTTGGGTAACCTCTGATTTCAAGTGATCGAGAAACCATTACTCCATTACTAAGTTCTCTTTGGTTTTCTATGGAAATAGACACTGGAGCTTCGCAGCTAATCATAGACGGCAAGATCAAGCTGAAAAACGATAGCCTGCTCCAGTCTTTTACCCCCACAGGACTCAAGTTTGAAGACGGAAGTGAGATATCTGCGGACGTCGTTGTGTATGCTACTGGGTAAATCATAGATCCTGGGAGCCCAAATGGACGCTAACATTACCATGTCAGTTATGGAAACGCTCGATCCGTCATTCGCAAGATTTGTGGGGATGAAATAGGTAACAAGTGTAAAGATGTTTGGGGACTCAACGCTGAGGGCGAGATGCGCGGATCTTGGAGAGATATGGGTGTTCCAGGGTTGTGGTATGCTATGGGTAAGATTTTTCGTTATGATAATATCTTTCTACAATTTTTAGGCTCACTTTTCAAACAGGCAACTTCTCTATGGACCGCTCCCACTCCAAATATCTGGCCCTTCGTAAGTAATACTTTGCTCGGTATATTGAGACTCCTGATGTAAATAACCATGGACAGAAATCAAAGCGATGGAGAAAAAATGTTTTGGTCCGAGATATTCGACCTCTTAGTATCGATAGCGTGGCTCCATAAAGTATCTTTGACGAAAAATCCGATTTCCAACTTCGTGTTACTATGATAGTAGCTTCAAGGATCTACGCTTGTATTCATTCTCTAATAAGTTTCCTCGGAATGGAACCTCCCTGGAACCTCCAACGTTCGAAAGCAGTCTGATTCCACCTTCGGGCCTCGATCACCACAAAAAAATGATTCAGTACACGCCTAGGCTCAGTATTTGTCCATCAAGCCTTTCCTGTTAGCTTTCTTATGAAAACCTTTACCCTGTCCACATTGAGAAGCCTCTCAGCGTCCTTCTCGCAAACCTTACTGCTCTTTGGACCAGTTAGATGGCCACTGAGAAGCGTGTAGCCAACAAAAGTGAAACATTGTCATGGTGTTTCACGGACGAACAGGGTGCAGTCCATGCACGCATCCTGGGGTCCAACGGTGTACGAAGTTAAGAGGACACAAGTAAACCTAAGATCCCTTTGGTAACTTGACCTGGAAGGTACCTAACGAGAGAAGAAATTCGGAATATATTAGTTGAGCTGCATACACAAGTGAACCGAGTGTAGGGAGAAAAGTGCCAGTGCAGGTATAATAAGTCTCGAGTTTACTCACATTGAGGTAGATTCGTCACTTCAGGTGATACCGTAGCATTGTATCCCAGGCGAGCAAGTGCACCTTTGATGATGCCTGCAGGCATGGAGACGTACTATCGTATGAACAGAATCAAAAGAGGTTGATAGCAAATAAAACGTAAATGTACCACTTTCGCCTTCCTCACAGCGTCCGGTCGACCTTGCCATGATGAGAGCCGAGAGATAGTTTTGAATGAATTGTCTTGGAGGACGTAGACGCCCTACGTTGCGGATCAGAGAAGAAAATGGAAGATGTTTGAATCGACCCACCCGATGATTCGTTCTCAGATTGTCCACTTGTTTGTCCCAACACGCTGCCCAAATATCCTTGCAGATGAATTTTATGGCATCTAACGTTTCCGTGAATAATCCGCGGTCGCGACATAATCTAAAGTGCATCGACACAGAGTTGGATCACTTCGACAAGTCGATCTGCTGAAAGATAACGGACCTTTCAGAGAAATTACTTCCAACATGTATCCCAATTGTTTCTAACCGCACTTTGAGCGCTTCTTCCTCTTCATCTACTGGTCCGGCTGCTGCGACTTTACCTCCCTTCGTAGACGCCAGACTACCAGTGGAATCTCTTGCAGACACTGCCGAATCTTTGGTGTCCTTCACAGGCAGTGCAGGAGGAGGTATAAGGCCGGCTTCAATCATCTCTTTCTCGCGCTCTCGTTCTCTAGTCAGGGCAATTTTTGATGATTGCCTTAAAGCATTGACAGTCTCTATGAGAAAGTAATCCATCATGGCACCGTCTACATGGCGCGTTGGCGGGTCAGAGAAAGCAGCAAGAGCAGCAAGATGCGGAGGAACTGAGGAAGAGGAAGACGGAACCGGTAGCGAGTTTCGACTGGACATCGCGGTTATTTGTGAGAAAGCGTGACCCAATGATGTTACGCACCGTGACATCGATTATTCGACGCGTGCGCTCGCGTGCGTGTTTTGTCAAATCTCAAGCGCTATCTCAAGGTATCACTATTTCCAGGTTCTATGAACCGGATCTTATCATGCTCTAGACAGGGAACCGCTTCTCGAACATACATCACTGTATGCCCTCCTAAAGAACTAACTGGCACGTCCAGGGCGTGACCAGCTGCTGTATTTGGATTTGGCTCTACACCGACCTGACAGGCCTGACCATGAAGCTAATTTGCTTAATCATGCTTCAGCTCATCCAATCAAATGTCATCTTCAGCGTCCTCGTTGTCAAACTCGTCCTCAACCTCTAGTCAATTGGATGTAGACTCTACAGCATCATCTTCGGCGCGTTCAACTGTTTCTCTCAACGACTGCTCTTCCAACGAACTGCCTATGTCTGGTTGTTTTGCAAGTTTTGTCGCCTTCGTATCAAACCTCGAGCGGAGCTTGCATACCGAAGAAGACCCGATACTTCTAGACGTAGACTTCGAGTTCAGTCCGAATCAGACGATCATTACCTCTTCCGCAACTTGTTTTGTAGAGAAGGCAGGCTGGAATCATAGTAGCTTCAAGGGTAAACATAAGGGACGATGGAGCAAATTCATCGCGCTCAAATATACTTGTCATGACACAGACGCTGCTCGTACTGCGGTCAGTTGGAAACAGCTTTTAACTGAGGTCCGAGTGCTCCTCCATGAACCCGTCCGCTACCACCCGAACATTGTTCGACTACTAGGGATTAGCTGGGGGGCAGTAGACGAAATGCGATCCAACTTCCCAGCATTGGTCCTTGAGTACTCTGATTTGGGGACACTCGCACAATTTCAATCGAACTCAATCGGGACTCTCTCTTTTGATGTCAAGAAAAAATTATGCTGGGACGTCGCGAAAGGGATATCCATCCTCCACGCCTGCAGCGTCATTCATGGTGATCTGAAGCATGAAAATGTCCTCATCTATCCCAATCGTGATCCTCATGCTTCGGTCAAGCACGTTGCCAAAATTTCCGAGTTTCGCGGGTCTTTGATGGATATAGGTGTCGCCGACTCACGATTGCTTTCCGCACCCGCTGGACCATGGTCGGCTCCCGAACTATACTCCAATACCGTTATGCCGGAGGAGATGTTGAAACTTACGGATGTGTACGCTTTCGGTCTTCTGGTGTGGAGGACGATTATGAACGGTAAAAATCCATACCAGCTTTCCCAATCGAATGCAGAACCTATGTCCGAGTCACAAATCTTCGAACTCAAGCGCTCAAACGAACTGCTAGCTATAGCGAAGGAAAACATACTACACTGTGAACCGAGCCCCAACTCTGTTGAAATTCTGCATTGTGTGTTTGAAAATACCATTCAATCCAACCCGTCTTCGAGGAACCTTGTTCGTGCAATCGCCGCGTTACAAGTAAATAAGTGAGTGGAATATCTGTCATCATCGAATTGGTTACTGACACCCTTACCAGTGCTTCTGAAATAGAGGATCTATTACAAAAGGGGGCCAAAAAGAATGAAGAATATGATGAGTATCTTGTGAATAAAGTCCCTGTATGTTCTATTATGCTTGCTGTGGACAGTGGATTTACGTGCGCATTAAATTTGCAGGGAACACACGGAGTGACATTAGATTCCCTCGGCGTTTATTTGGCAGCATCGAATGCGAATACAGGAGATTACGATTATCAAAGCGCAGGGTGGTTACTCTTTCCGTTCAGTCACTCCAAAAACATCTCACTAAATCAATGTCCATTCAGACGAGGCTTTCGCACCATTCGCCCTCCACCTCTGGGAAAGGTGAAAGTTCACTTTGATTCAATTTCTCGTTGCTGAAGTGCCTTTGAAGTTTGTATTTGAGCCTTCTCGCCTCAAAACAGTCTTGGATTGGGAGAGACAAACTACCATCCTTCGTGAATTGGAAGCAGTCGCTTCCGTTGAACCTCAAAGTTCCAACAAGCCCTCCACGCCCACACAAATCAACTCCGCCATTGCAGCATTCTATGCTTTCCAATGCCAATGCCACGAATTTGGAACCAAGTTGAGCAGCGCGAAAGCCTGTCACTGGCTTAAATTGGCCGCTTCCAGCGAAGAATGCGAAGAAGCTAATCTCGCGCGCGCTTGGTGCTGGAGATTCCACATTACTTACAATGTCCTTCTGGATGTGGACCCCCTCAAATTGCTAGATTGGATACGGTGGTCAATCATCAACGGGCACCGGAAATGTATTACAGAATCTGAGTCGCTCGTTCAGCTTATGATACCGGAATCCGAATCGCGCTCCTTCTGGGAGCAAGCGTTCATCAATGCGCGCGACATCCTATTTACTGGTAGTGGCGGTGTCGGAATGTCATTTTTCCTTCCCCTCGCGTTGCGAAGAACCTATCATATGGAAGATACGCAGGCGCTACAGCGAGATATCCAAGAGGAGCTCGCTTTTCGTGGAGTTAAGTCTATTGATGAAATTTATGTCAATAGTCGAGGAGATGGCTTGCTTCATATGGCCGCAGGTCTGGGACGCCTGGATACACTGAAGTACCTAGTCGAAACATATCATCTGAACATCAATAAACCAAACACATCTCGTCAAGAAACTCCCTTGATTTTTGCTTGTCGAGGAGGACACCTCGCTTGTGCACTGTACCTCCTCGACCTCGGCGCAGCACCTGGAGGAGACGTTCATAGCCTAGAGAGACCACTATGGTGGCTATCTTCTTTCAGACCACATGAAATCCCAATAATTGCCGCTCGCCTTGTCCAAGCCGGTGAAAGTCTAACATCCCCCCGATACCCAAGCTTTGCCTCAGTGCGGGGAGATTTACGAAAGAAATATGTCTTATCAGACTATGAGAATTTTCTGCTCCTTCCTGCTTCTCCGTTGTCTAGAGCGGTTATGATGGAAAGTTTGCCCGCTGTGATAGCTCTCTTGGCTCTTGGAGCTGATCCCTTGGAAGGATTGCGTGAGAATTTGAACCCGGAAACTGGTCTTTCAGTGTGTCCGGTTGTTGTTGCAGCGGTTTTGACACTTCCGGATATACTTAAAGCATTGCTTGATCATGTCGACGCAGGGCATGATAAACCAATTCGGCTTTTCTCAGAAATCGAGATGCTGGAGATGGCGCTAGATTGTCGAGTTACCATAGGAGATCCAACCTCTGTGGATCGTCGAGCCTCGCGGCTTGGGCCGATGTACAAGGTGGCATTGACCTCGACTTTGCGGATGCTCCACGAAAGGGAAAAGTTGTTCAAGGAGGGAGATAAAGAAGCAAAGGTAGATTCCGCGGCAAGAGCTTCAGCTATCATGCTATCACGACTTGCCTCTCTTGGCCGGTTCAACATTATCAGGAATCTACTTGAGCTAGGGCACTCCGCAAAGGGATACGCGGATGTTTTCCCAATTGTTTCCGCAGTCGAGGAAAACCGTGGGTCCATTTTTCGACTTTTCGTTGATCACGGAGCAGATCCTCTCGCAGTATATGACTTTCCATCTCAGAAGAGAAAACGAACACTCCTTCAGATTGTCGCTGAACGGCCTCGTCATGCTCGAGCAGGCATTGATATAGCTCAAGCCCTTCTCGAGAAAGGCGTTCCAGTCGATTTTGTCTTTTCGGATGATTCGATTGTATCTAGACCGGCTTTTGCCTCTGCCGTTCGAAGACAGGATTTCGAGTTAGCAGATCTGTGCCTCAACTATGGTGCAAATTTGGATCTCACATACGTTCACCAGGCCAAGTCACCAAAGAGTACTGTATTCGGTGAAATGGCGCGTTATCCTACGGAGAGGAACCTAGTTTCGTTGGAGTATCTCCTTAGACAGGAAAAGTTACCATCTTTCACTGTCGTGCCCACTACTGGTGAGACTGTGTTACACCGGCTTTTGCTCTTTTGGGCTACGACGCATCAGCAAAGACGAATTCTTGAACAGATGATTCGAAGAGTCTTGAAGAATGATATCCATTCCTCCGAGAATATACTCAAAAAGGAGGCCATTGGGATTCCCTTTGATGTAGCATTATCGGGAAATATCGAGGTCTTCACAGCACTTTTGGATTGCGTGCCTAGCCTTTCGCAGAATCCAATTTTATATTTTGAGTATGGAGGGATAAAGCTTGTAATGTTGTTGAGGGCTATCATAGCGAAGTTCCCCCAACTTCCGGAGCGCATCTCGATCATGAATACAATGTTGGGAATTGTCAGTAACAAGAATATGGAAATGGAATTAATGGAGAGATATAGATTAGTTCTGTACCGGTTGGAAGCGATACAGTAGACTTATCCTCAATGTGAATGTAAATGGGGGGCTAAATCAATCCTGTATAGAGATATCAATATATATAACATCATTTACAGCAGGACAACAGCTGATACTCTAAGCGCCTGATCAACGTCTTCAAGAACCACCATCTGCTAGTCTCATACACCTACTCACAATATGGACCTCGGCTCGAACTTTGTTGCGAAATTGGAACCATATCTTTTGATGGGCAAAAGCATGAAAGGCGCGGCCGCGGCGAAGTTGATCCAAGACGCCACTTCTGCCCCCGGTGTATTTGTCTTTGGTGAATTGTTCGAACTTCCAGGGATTCGGGATGTTAGTATTCTCTTGCTTTATACTTCATATCAACTGTAATAGGTGCTTTAGCTTGAGAAGAATGAACAACACAGCAAATCGTACAAGCTTCTCCAATTGTTCGCGTACAAGACTTATTGGGATTACCTTGGTAAGCACCGAAGTAGCTTTGCTCGCTTTGTCTTGGTCAACGCAAGCCTTGCAGAAAACAGAGACCAGCTACCTGCTCTCAATGAAGCTCAGACCATCAAGCTGAAGCATCTCTCGATTGTGTCGATGGCTACTGAGAGACGGGTGGGCTCATCGTTGTATCTTTGCTCACAAGAATCTTGTTAATCAGATACGAATAGATACTTCCTTACCCACAACTCATGTCTTCACTTGCGATGTCTACAATTAGGGACCTTGAAGACCTCATCATCGATGCTATATATCTTGACATTCTACGCGGCAAGCTCGACCAGAAGGAGTCTCAACTTGAAGTGGAATACACGATGGGAAGAGACTTGGAGCCGGGGAAAGTTGAAGCAATGTTGAATGCCCTCAGAGACTGGTGAGTACACACAGTCAGTTTGTAATTCAATATCGTGCTAGTTCTGATTCCCTCTCGATTCTCAGGGCTTCGACAACATCCGCAGTCCTTGCTACCCTCGACTCCCAAATCAGTACAATATCTGCTCAAACCGACTTCGATCAGAAGCAAAAGGAGGACTACGAAGTCCACGTCCAGCAGATTATCAAAGAAGTCAACGATAAGAAGGAATCCAATTCATCTTACCCGTTGTCTTCAGGGACGAGGAGACTGCAAGGTCAGAACACAACGGGAAGCGGGGATCGGATGGATGTCGATGAGCCCGAAGTACAGGGCTTAGTCTCTGGTGGTTCGAAAGGAAAAAACCGCAAGTGAGTTTCGACATTTATCTGCTGTCGGTTGGTGTACTTACTGAGTAATGGGAACAGGGCTCCACAAGCAGAGGCGAAGCCCTCAAGGAAGCGCAACAGATTCTAACGGGGTCATAATCAGTACTATGTTGCGTGTACGCCATACATGATTATATCTATTTTCTGTGATTCTTTATTGATGATGTTCGTACACACCATGACTCAGACAGTATACATCCGCATCGTGAATCTTTCTTGACTGCACAATGATCGTTCTTGTTACTGGCTACACCGGTCTATATCCCAGTGTTAGCAGGAAGCTTGATTTCGAACGCGGCTTCTCAACTCCGTCAGTGTACATATTCCAGGATACATATGTCTTCCAAGGTAATAAATATTCCTATCATGTTTCCTTTCTTGCTTGCGTATGTTTCCACTCTACTGGTGATCAATCCCTGTTGGCTTCAGACGATCTCTCCACCTCAGTACTGCAAAGTGAACCTGTCGCACTCAATGACTTTGCAGGCATCAAGACTTTTGGCAATCCCTGGCTCGTTGTAACACTCAAGCTTCCATCCGAAGCCGTTATCACCGTGTCACACGTCAATACATCCACAAGAGTTTCGTTCGGGCTATACAACCCAGCCGAACCTGGGATACTCCATGACTCAGTGGAGGAACTGCCTCCGTTTGTGAGAAGGACGAGTAAGGGCGGCTTGGAAATAGCCAACGTAGAGCTTGCCGAAGCTTGCGGAATAAATGTGACTTGGTTATTCAGAAATGACGGGCTGTAGGAGATGGCTTGTTTACGAGCGGCGTTCAAGATTCTGATCTGAGCAAGAAGAGGCTTGTTCTCTTCGTCGAAGCCAGAAAGCCAGAGTCTACAGACAAGGTAGGAACTTTGAACACATTGAAAGATAGTGGAAGGGTAGTTCACGTACGCTTCACGATTAGCGGGGTCATTCCCTCCCTGGTAGCCTTGTTCTTGCCCGTAATAGAGGATAGGGATGCCGTCGTTGATGAATGGCCAGGTAATGACATTCTTAACAATCTATCAGGTATGCAGCAGTTAGTAACAGTGGTCGAGATTCAGAAAGGAAAGCTCACCGATTGGTCAGACACAGTTGACTGTATCCTAGGATTGTCATGATTTTCAACAAAAGATCCAACATAAAAGGTGCCGTGATTGTACTGGTTCTGAGCTTCAGTGACTATTTCCGCAATAGCAGCCATGTTTCCGGAAACGCCGTTGGTGAAAGCCTTATGGACGGCGAAGTAGGTCGGATAGTCCAATATACTGTCGAGACCCTCTGTGTGAACATGACAGTGTCAGAGATAGCCACTACAAGTTGGGAGAAAAAGGCTACCTGTGTACGGAGCAGCGTAGCCAACCTCGCCAGTCAAAACTTCACCAACGGTATATACTCCAGCACTCGACGCAAATTCCGGCCAAAAGTCCTTTCGGACGTGTTTGACTGTATCCACCCGCAGTCCGTCAATGCTATAATCCGATACGAGGTTCTTGATCCAATTGTACATAATGTTCACTGTAGTGCTATTTTCCGTATCAAGGTCAAGAAGAGGAAGACCCGAGTAGCCTAACCAACATTGCTCGACGTTGGTCTGATTATTGTAATCGGAAATGAAGCATTCAGAGTGAAAGCAATCGGCTCCACCAAATGGCTGCAAGAGTGAGTAGTCAAATGTTTGGGGCTGACTATCCGATGTGGGATTGGCGACGAGGCTAGGCAAATAAAAGAGTGGTCGACTATGAGTGAGGAGAGTCTGACAAACGACTTACTGATTTACGACGATGTCTACCATAAGATACATTCCCCTGTCATGGAGAGCACTACTAAGGCTTCTCAGATCATTGGCCGACCCAAAGTTGGCGTTGAGCGAGTTGATATTCTGCGTCCAGTATCTATGCGTTATGCCAACATGAACATCAAGGCCAACAGAGATCAGTAGCGCAGCTCACCCGTGATAAGCCTTGTCGCCTGACATTGCACCATCAATGTTTTCAACCACGGGGGAGATCCAAATAGCGTCAAAGCCCATGCTCTGGATGTAATCCAATTTGCTGATAATTCCCTGCCAGTTTCCGCCACAGTACTTCTTCTCGCTCGTATCACAACTAGGCGAGGAGCCGTTTCCCAAAGCGAATCTGTCTGTGACAATCTCAAAATGAATATCTTAGCTTGTGAGATCCCGACCATGGTTGAACTAGCTACCTGGTAAATAGACCTCTTCGTCCATTCATCTGCCGGCGCTGCAAATGCTGCTGTAAACGACATTGTGATTAAAACTACCATTCCCGCATTTACCCAAAGGCACATCATCGTCCTGAAGAAGCTGAAATAAAAAGGACCTTGATTGGTTCAGAAAAAGGTTGAAGAGAAAGGAAAAGAGACTTGGGTGAGCGAGTATGAATCACCAGTTGGCAATGGGTGCAATCTTTACTTCCTAATTTGGTAGAAAGTTTACCTAAAACGGCCATCGTTTATTGCCGGAAACAAATAATTGATTGACCAGTCCGTTGCGATATGTGGAAGGAACATTGCCGGTATTCTACACAGGAAAATACTTTGTAACATAGCTAAGAGGGCGGAGGACAGAAGGTGACAGTATAGTCTGCTGCAAGTGTCGAAGGACACGTCCACAAAGCGGTTCCACTTGATTCATCAAAGGCATAGGCATACGAGTCGGGGCAATTACTCTCTAAAAACAAGGCATTCAATTCTGCGGCTATGAATCCAAGGAGCCCACTCACTAAAGTAGCTATAAAATTCAACCCCTGAGAATGGATATCACAAAGTATTCAGCGACAACATGAACTGGCAGGGTCAAAGATATCTCACCAGAGGGAGGGCAAGTGGCAGCCGTGTTAAACTGACCCGAGCAGCAATTTGGTGAGTTCGCTGCATCAGGTGCATTTTTAGACCGAACGAGTAAGTTTAGAACTGGGAAATGACTGTACCTGGATCACCATCCAAATTGGCATCCTTTAATTGGATGTGAGGTGAAGTCAAGTAATTATCCTGAGAAGACCACTCACACATGCAGACTTGCATCCTACAGGGAATCCTGTCGAATCGAAGGGTCCTATCAATGGCGCAGGACCTACACAAAGGGAAACATAAGAACTGCATGCCAGTGGTTGGAGTTATCTGACTTACAGTCGGGTCCGAGATCCACAGGACAAGACGCCACAGGACAGTTCACATTGCTGGTGATGCTATGAAGTGTACATTGTACTTGGAGAGAACCTTGCATCTATAACGAGGGGAGACATACCTCAGGGGTAGGTTATACCCATCGACCAAGGAAACTTGAAGAGTTAGATAGAATGAACATCTGATCAAGAGCTGTTCCGACGACTTACCGTCATAGTTATCGGGGATGCTGGCATCGGTGGAGAGTGTAAATTCTGCAAGTGTGGCTGGAGGTACTCCCTTGTAAGACGACGGTAGTTAGCAGGTACATTCGTTCATAGGAGGGATTATTGTTACGGTGCCGGTAACAGGATCACAAACTAAACCTCCGTTGCATCCACCGTCTAGACATGAATTTGGTCCGGGATTGGTGGTAAAGTCGCAGTCGCGACGACCCTGGGATTTCAAAGAAGAGAAGGATCAGAGCTTCGGTTATGGAATATACAGACGCTCACCCAAATACGCCCTGCTTGCCAGTTGTCTGGGACAGTGAAGGTCACTGAAGTGAATTCCGCAGCTTCCCATCTGCAAATATTTATGTTCAGGACTACTTATTCAACTTTAGGAGTATCTTGAGTCTTATTCACCCGGTCGGGAAATCAGGTGCAGTTCCGACGCCAGTAAACATCTACCGTACCATGAGAATCCACTTCGTGTGATGGGGGCATGGAGAATAAACGCACCGCGGGCCACATCGTGAACGGACACCCATTGAAAACCTGAAGGATGAAATCATAAGTACCCCTTGACATTCGAATGACAGAGAAGGCTTACTGTGAACGTACGACCTGATGTAAGTCCAAATGTCAGCGAAGCTGTGATCGATATAACTTGAAGGAGCTTCATGACTTGTTTTTGGGAGTTATTAGAGGCTGGAAGTCAGCTTTGTGAGTTGATGCAGGATAGTTACGATGAATTTCCTCGGGCTTTTGTAGAATTTCCTTCCTACCGAGCTCATAATTCTGCTCAGGCTGCTGAAAACAGGTTGAGAGCTTCGATCGAATGCGCATGGCCTCCACTCAATCTCGTGAGTGTTTGCAACACAATACATGGGTATCTTTCATGCGAGGGATGACGGACAGGAGCTAAGGAGCAAATGGCAAAACGCAGGATATAGGTGATATTTCTCACTGTTGGTGGGTGGAGCTAGTGAAGCTTCGAAGGCAATCAGTACCAAATTACTTTAACAAGATATGTTACAGTACCGCATGCCAGTGTATGATGTTACTTCCAAGCTCCTCTTCACCGAGGACCAGTTGCTCGGTTGGATGGGTTGAACAAGCCTAAATAAGTATCCAATCCCTGGACTGCGCGGTTTTTACATCTTGTACCATGCCGTTTGATTCAACAAATACCTTTCCTAACCTATTACCAGAGCGGAAAAAACGGATCCGTAAGTTACCAAAATACGGGATACTGATGAGGCAGGTAGTCGATTATCTCTTAATCACTCTTGACACGGATTACACGGAAGAATCGGCAAGGAATCTCTACTTGTATGTTGTTGAGCGGCAGTTTAAGCTTACCCAGGGCTCAGCCACTGTTTGGGCAGCGTTTTGTTCCTGCTTTGAATGTAACATGAATTCTTCAAGGACACCGGTTCCAATCGACAAAATGACGGAATAAAAGGCATTTTTATCATTCTCTTTCAAACTTTATCATAGAAAATCAAAACTCCCATAATCTTTGAATCGACCTCCTTGCTCCGCTGCTTAGCTTCGAAGCCTGCGTCGTCACTGAGGTCGTCACTGGATTGCTACCCCCGAGAGCCGTTCCAGACGGGAAAACCGACGAAGACGAGCGAGTGATGAACCCGGATGAGATGGATGGAACATTCAGACTGCCAATGTTATCCACAGCCCCGGCGGTGATGAAGCTGGTCGAGGAAGTTGAGGTGGATGTACCGGTGGGTGAACCTGGAGCAGAAGTCCAGGTGTTCATTGCAGACGTCCAAGTATCTGTGGATGCAGTGGATACTGCGGTCCCAGCTGCGGTATCGACATCAGTAGGAGTTGCAGTTGAGCTTGAAGAGCTCCAACCACTACTCGAGTCCGTAGGCGAGGAGTCAGTCGCACTGGATGACGAGCTTGAGGAGGATGACCCGGAATCTGACCCAGAACCCGAAGAGTCTGAATCGGCCCAAACCCAAGTCATCCCAGTAATTCGACCGACACTTTGATCAGCAAGTTGAGAGAATGCTGTCGGGGTGAAGTCCAAGCTATAGGGATTCGTGCAGCCTCCGCATCGGTCAGTGATGGCTACTGTGACTGATTTGCCTTGATCTACATCGAAAGAACGAATGGTTAGAACAAGAGGATGACAAAAATGATGGTCAGCATACAGGTTGCAATCACTTTCTTATTGCAGATTGGATTTCTGTGAGCGTTGAGCATCAATGAGTGGTCCGGGGAAAGTGGAAATAAATTCATACTCGTTGGGATTTCCAGACGTGACACCCATGTGTATACTGGAAGTCGAGGATTTGAAGGATGAACTTCTAATCATATATAGAGCAGACAACGGATACATACGCATATTGGTCAAAGAAGTCTTCTCCAATCGCTGTGCGCAAAGTTGAAGTTAGGATGAAGTGACTCTTATACGCGAACGCTCTAACCTGCAATATAATCTGTGTCTGAATTATCACAACTTCAGTCAGAGCATGTTCATGTTTTTCAAAATCAGATTCCTAACCTGTGTTAGTAATCCCACTGATCCATGCTTTCAGCACGTTTGTTTTTTACACTGAAAAAAAACAAACTCACCAAGCTCCGAGCCCTGCATCGTAGTATGTTCCTGAACGCAGTTGTTAGCGACTCAGGTGTACTGAAGACCAATTTCACGACACGTACCATCACCACTTCCTCCTGAAAAGTCCGTCACAGTGACACTTCGTTTATCCTCCAACGACTTTCGAATGGGGATAGCCATCCCTGCTACCAACGACGACGACGACGCAAATGCGAGAATTAATGACGCAATCATGAACGTGAACATTATGAAGACGGGGAATCTAGCGTGTCGGAGTGAAAGTGAGGTTCAAGGTCAACTTGAATTCGATCCAAAGAACTTTTGTGCGGTTTGAGGATACTGCGAACAATCGACCAAGCGAAGGTTGCGCGTTACGACAAAGGTTCAGTTGAACGGGACCGCCCGGCGGACACCTACAGAGAATGAGGAAGGGGGTGAGGCTAGCTAGGTTATCCAGGTATTCGCCACCGGGTATTTAAGCATACTCGAATTCTATTGAGGCAGTGCCATCGCTGATATTATGGTGTTGCAGAATCACTAAAAATTATTGAATTTGATGAAACTTCGGGAAAGTGAAGCGGCTTCGGAAGATAGATAGAATACACGGCGCTATCAGCGAATTGACAGTGGTCTCAAAGAAGTAAAGGCGGACAAGGACGGCCATGCTATTCCAGCTGTTGAAATCGGTTGAAATCCTGGTTGTGAGGGAAAGGAAGGGAGCGGCGGGCTTATCGGTGGACGACCCGGGCTGATTTTCTTCAGTGAGGATTTATGTTTGGCATTATTGACGTGCCTTTCACTTTTTCTCTCCGTTTTCAATCTACATACCCTCCACGAATATAATCAACAATCTTACTACCTCTAATGATTGGTGCTTCAAGAACAAAAATACTCCTGGAGATTCGAGCTTGTTGACTCAAAGAGAGCTCGTTGCAGGTTTCTTTATACATAGGTCCCAAGGTATGTTACACGTTATCTCATACGTCGTTGAAGGCACTAACTCGTGTACAAGCTTGTTACATCCTTAACCCATCAACGTCCCATTCGGCGCGTACAAGCGAAAGGACTTTGGGGTCCCATACTACTAGCGCGAGGCTTGAAAGGGCTTGGAACTAACCTAGTTCTTGCCGAACGTGTAAAGAGTAAAAGATTTGCACTTAGATCTCTCAGCCACCCCCCAAACTATAGGCTTTTGTCCGGATGTACACAAATTGCAGGATATGCCAAATCAAATCAGTATGCGAAACTCTTGCGCCCTCAGATGCATAGGTTTGCTGTATATGTGTATCTATGCTCCCGAATAACTGGTTCAAAGTAATGTATCATACATTGGTCCGTCTCATGCTGGGACGATAAGGCTTCCAAATTGTTCCCTGGGGTTACTCGCCATCCTTCGCAGAAGTTCAACCCTGTTCAACCTCGACCTTGAAAATTTGGCCAATGATATATCGCACCACCCAGTGCCTTGATTTTGATCTGAGTGTCGTGTTGGCCACTGTACTGAAGTACCCATTTCTGAAACTTGCGGCCTAAGCGAAGCATGTCAAGGTGAATCCGGTTTTGTCAGGTTTTGTCAGTGCATATCCTAGTAGCTAAGTTTAGTACATTCGGGCTCATACATTGCCGTCCGTCTTCAGTCTTATATGCCTTTTCACCTTCAATCGGCGCCATTGAACTATACTAACTCCATTGTAAACATATCGCATCTGTATCGCACGCAATGCCAATTCTTCTAAAGCTTTCTAAAGCAAGGTAAGGAAGACGTTTCGGTTGGTTGAGGTGATTGCATAGGAGCCAAGTTTACGTGCTGATTCTCACCTCTCAATTCCTCCAATCCTAGATATACCAAGTTTCGAGAATTACAACACATCCGCCGATTACTTACCGACAAACCCGAACATTGACCCGCGCTTACAATAAGCGCGCGTAGTGGCTGTGAGTCGATACCAAAAAGGGTAAAATGTGGGGCGTAGTTTAGTCGGGTCCGGTGACCAATGGCCGGTGACTGATTTATCAAACCGTCGTTGGACTCAGTCCATTTACAAGTTTGCACCATTGACTTGTGAACCACGAGGTTCGACGCAGTTCCCACTGGCCTTGAACTTCTCCTGAGCGGCCGTTGCCGAAGGCCATAGAGCTGAAAAAAGGGACCTATAATCTGCGCTCTTGTACTAGAACCTCACCCTAGACCTGTACAACAACTCTAGACGAATACCCTTCTCATTCATTTGTACACCTCTCCAAAACTTCTCGAGCTACGAATTGGCGACGGAATACGCTTTGCGAAACCTTGAAAAGGATCTTGTAGCTTTCCCGGTAGATCTTAGTTGTCTTGTGAGCAGTTACTCTTTTCATTTCGCCCATCTTGTTGACAATCTATCGTAGAAGAGAACTGATAGAGATTACATTACTTTCAGGAAGGTCTTGGAGAAGATCATAGAATCATTATCCAAGCGAGGGATCTGTTCTGTCCTTCGTTTGAGCCTTCTTGTTAATTGGACGTTGTACTCGACGCCGAAAGCTCAAATTACGTTCGATTTGGGTAGAAGTTGGTGAGCGTCTTCCCGGTGTCTTCTGATCACATCATGGGTACTGACCGGATCTCTACTTACTTCCTGCGACCCTGACTCACATTGACGATTGCTCAGAGTCATTCGTAGTCCCTCAGGATGTCCCTGCAACACTCTTCGCCCTCTCCGACCTCGGAAGAACGTCAGAATCGTTTTGCCGCGCCGTCGTTGAATCAACCTACTACAAATTTGACTGCTGGTGAAGCAGGAAATCACCCCTCTGCACGTGCAGCCTCTCAGCCTCCGCGCTCATCCTCAACCGCTTCCAACACTGTTTTACTTAGTCCGACCACTGTTCCGAGGTCTCCCTGGTCCCAATCTCAGAGTTCGTCCGTAAAACATCCGCGTGACAGGTATCTTAGCCCAACACGTACGTCCGGGATCCCAATGCCTTCTCAAACCCGCAGTTCTTCCTTTTCCGGCGCTGGCCTTGGCGCCCAATCTCACTCTTTTTCCGGCCTTGGTTCCTCAGGCGGAGCTGGCCCTGGCTATTTTTCGCGGTTCGATTCAACGTTTGAAGATGACGAGTCGTTGCTTGACAATCCGCAATATGGTGTTGAAGACGACGGTGTAGACGACGACGACGTAGATGCTATGATTGGTAGAATAAGACCCTCCGCCGATCCGTATGATGAATATTCGGATTCGCCTGTTTATTCCAGAAGAGGGGTAGGAATTGCAGGAGGTGGTGGTGCAGGACGTTACAGTATTGGAGGAGGAAGATTACCACCGTCCTTGTCGAGCTCTTTGAGTCCTTCGCAACTGCCTGGTAAGCATCAATCAAAATCGTATGTCTATTATTCCCTCATTTTCCTACTTGCAGGAACTGTTCCATTGATGTCTCCTTCACCTCGATCTTCAACTTCCTCTAGTCTTGCATCGCAAATAATGAAAGACGATGTACGAGGGCGAACATATGCTCCTGATCTCAGTCGGAGTCGGAGTCAGAGCCTTGCTACCACGACTGTGGGCAGGCTATCTGCCGGACTTGGGGCAGCCGGAATGTATGGATGTAAGTGTTCGATGCTATTTATTTCATTGAATACTTCGTTGGCCACATGAACTTGAAATCCACATACGTCGACCATGAACGGAGTATACGGATTTCTGGGATGATTTAACCCTGTACGGTTCCTGCCGAGAGTGAATGACTTGATTCGTTTTGTTATAGAAGCATGGGACTGTTGCTCTTTCTACTATCTCGTTGCCGAACAGCCTCTTTCCTCCCCTTTGTCTCCCTAGATTTCTCCATGTTGCGTGAATATTAACACTTAAATACTCACACAGTACCATCTCATAACCCACACGGATACTCACGAGACACCTCTGGTCTCGGCTCTACTATGGCATCTTGGAATGGCAATGACTCTGACCACAACTTTTCACTCCTCCGCGAACGTCTAGATTCTTCTCGGTCTCGATATGGATCTTATAATGAATACAGCGACTATGGAGACAAATTGCACGATAACTCGAACCAAAGCCCTTTCTTGCGCGATGTCAGTCAGATCATGCGAGATGACGGTCCTCTCAGAGAGTTGTGGGATCATGGCGCTGGAGGTGCACATGCACCACGGGGCTTGGGCTTGAGGAATTCCCTGTCAAGAGCATATTCCGGTGGTGGTGGATTTAATTCGGGTGCTAGAAGTGGTGTTTATCCTGGCGGCGGAGGAACGACGGAGTTGGAGGATATTCCTGGAAGCGGAGCTACATCGAGACGGCATAGTGTCAGTGTTGTTCAGCCTGTGCGACGTGGAAGTGGGCTACAAGGTGAACTCGCTGGGAGTGCTGTTGACGACGAATACGAGTATGAATATGGTCAACCTCAGGGTGGCTTAGGCTCAGAAAGGAATGGCAGCAGTGGTTTTGGGGCACTCGGTATGGCAGGAATGGGACGTACAGCATCAATGAGTGGCGGAGTTCATCCTCATGTAGGCTCCTCTTCTGGTAGGGCAGGAGTAGGCAGAGGCTCGTTGATGATATCAGACGAAGATCTCCTGGATGCAGGCGCGCCAATGCCTGATTTGCGTATGGGGATGCATGGTGGGACGCACCCTGTTGACGCCTTGAATAGCAACTTTGGCATGATGAATTTGAACGACATCAACCAATCGCTGTATCAGCACCAACAGCAGCAACAGTCTGCTCTTGAAATTCCTCACCAGAGGCGCGGCTCCGTGTCTCCCGGTACCGGTGCCGGTGGTCTTTCGCATGACGGGTTAGGTTCGAGTCCAGGGCATCAATACCACGAAAAAGATTCGGTCTATGCTAGTCAAGAGCACACGCCTCAGCAACATACTCAACCTCCTCCACCAGGAAACCAACTACCTCAGGGACCCAATGGCCTTGGCGCAGGAACTAGCTATGCCTCTCGAGCCAGATCGACGTCACAGTCCCAGCAGCAAGGTGGTTCGTCGCCTACCATGGGTCGTGGGATGGGAATACCTCCGCAAGGATTTTATTCTCAGCATCCTTCAGCGCAGCCCCAACAAGGGCCGACTTATCCCCAAGCTCATGCAGTAGGAATGCCAAGGAGAATATCGAACGCGAGCGGGAGTGGTCCCGTTCTGGATATGTCGTATGGCGTTGGACCTCACGGTCATCATCCTGGTTCGGTACACCAACAACATCCCCATCAGACTCACCCTCATGGGCAACATGCACTTCCCCAGCATCAACAATCACAACCTCAGCCTGAACATGCCCTTGGTCGTGGCGTGCCACTCTCTGCTGTCCCGCACACGTGGAAGCTTTTCATCGTCGAGTTCAAAGCAGGCCGTACAGATCTGTTCTATCTCACTGATGCTATCAAGTCGGAGATCATGAGGAATGAAGCTGGCTACGCTGCGGCGCAAACGAACGGGCATGGAACTGCTCGCGCGCCGTCGGAAGGTGCTGAGGCCGACTCCTATCCAATCAAAGTTGGAGACCTGGTCATTGTCGAAGCTGATCGAGGACGAGACCTCGGTCGGGTTGTCAACGACAACATTTCTGTAGATGAAGTAGAGGCGTGGTTGGATGCCGGGCGCAGTTCCTCCGGCCAAATACTTGACCCGAGTCAACAGCCAAACCAGCCATGGGGCGACTCACCTATGCCCACCCCGATTTCACCTACTGGCGTCTATGCTGGTATTCCACCTCCTGGTAACCCTAATTCTACTCCTGGTGCTGCAGGGAGTGCGGGATCGAAAAAGGAAATCAACCCGAAACAGATTTATGGCAAAGCTGGGCCAGCGGAAGCGAGTTTACTGGCGGCGAAGATGAGTGACGAGATGAAGGCATTGCAGCTTTGTCAGAGTAAAGTGCGTGCGAAGAAGTTGCCGATGGAGGTGGTAGATGCTGAGTATCAATGGTCGGTCTTTCTATCTTTTACAGCACTGTGGATTTCTGATCATGGGTTTTCAGGGATCGACGCAAACTGACATTCTATTTTGTGGCGGATAAAAGGATTGATTTCAGAGAGCTTGTGAGGGAGCTATTTAGGTGCGCTAATTGGCCATTCTTGAACGCCACATGTGCTGACTGTCTAAACCACTTACCGTTTAGGCTCTACAAAACTCGTATCTGGATGGCTTCGTTACAAGGAGGCGGCGGCTTTGAGCAATGATGCTACAAGTCGTCCCTCCTCCCTCTTCATTAAGAAAGCGAAGTGCAAGTGCATTTCGATGAATAATGGATGTTCAGTCGAAGAATAAAATTGGATGACCGCGTCGAACGACGACTTCTTGTACTACCAGTAATTATTTTCTCCCTCTCATTTGTTTGTCTATTTTATCAAAAAGAGTTTTGCCGTTTGCTACATTCTATCTTCACACCACGCACTTCAGAGTACACAACAGATCGGCATACCCTCTCCATTCTTCTTCTGTCTTGTCTCGGAGACCCATAATCCATGCGCGTTCAATCCATTCAAATCTCCGTCTTTTTATTTCTGGTCATAGTCGGCTAATGACTTTTCATGCACATGGCTCGTATGCATCTCTGTTTTTTTCTTCATTTGCGCATATATAGTGCTTACAGTGTTTTGCCCCAAGAGTTTTCGAGATTCAAAGAGGCTGGCTATCTCATATATATCTATTTACATGCATACGTACATTGTTGCTCTGTCGAATTTTCAATGAAATGTACTTCTATCAGACTCTTGCATTTAAGAACTTAGAAGTGCATGTGTCAACGCATTCCTACGCCTCCAGATCACGATGCGATATCTTTGAAAAGAACCACTACAAGGTACTTACTGTGGCCAATACCACAAGACCAGACGATAACAGTGCTCTCCGAGAAGTCATATACATATTTGCCTGAGAGCTTCGACACAACCCTGCAAGAATTAAACGAGTACGTCGTCGTCGAAGGCCTCAGGTAATCTCACTCCAAGGTTGACTTGCCACAACAAGCTTGACTATTAGCACAGCTTGAACACTTCATCCCGACCTACCCTGGCCTAGGTTCACATATATATGTGACACTTTCAGAAAAGCGTGCGGCACTGGGTGGAATGGCCCATAACCTGACCGTCTCAACACAGGCCCGGGGCTATGATTTTGTTTACAAGGCCGCACATGAAGGTTTCTTCCCATCGCGGAACCGGGAACGTAGAGCAGGAGGTTAAGCGTAACTACGGTTATATCGTTCTAGTTCCTCGGGAAGCACGGCTGATCTATGTACGCATCCGACCAGGACATGAAGGAGCTAATGAATACCATAAATGCCATCAGAGGCTGTACCAGAAGATCGTAATGATAGTATGGCTTCATTGCAAAATCAGTGCGTTTTTTTCCCCTGTTACTACGTGTTGCTCATCCTTATATCTCTGATGATCAAAGTAGCAGAACCTTAAGACTCAAACCCGCGTCTGGCAAGTGTGCGATGACGGTAAATCTCTCAGGGTATGTTACAAAAGTCAATATTGCAAGAAGTTTACACACTCAAAATACTAATACCCTGCCCAACATCTGTTCACGGCCGCTACCTCCAAAGTTCCTAACGTCTTTTCCCCCAAAGATATAGGTACTCATACCAGGCCCAGGAAGTTGTGGCTTGAACACCCATTCTCTCGGATGATACGGTGCTATACCTACGTTTTCATCCAACGAGTTTCGTTCTTCGTATACCGAAGGTACAACAGGTGGCAGAGGAATCGGTGTGGTTTTGTGCAGTTCTTCGAGGATGAATCCACGGAGAGAGTCAGGAATCCAATGAGAGGGAGACGGAGCACGTCGACGGCGTTTACACGTGGAATGAGAAGGCAATTGGGATTGTGCCCTAGATGAACGAGACTGCGACCCGCGAGGCCGAGGACTGGTGGAAGTAGATGTCCGGGTAACAGTCACAGTGCGAGAACGCTCCATTGAAGGAGTGCCAGGTTCTGGAGACGAATCCGTCGCTGTTGTGGCGGTCGGTGGAGACTGCATCGCGTTAACAGGCTTCAAGATGCATCGACGAACGTGTCGATTCAAATTTGATGCCACGCCGAATCGTCGGCCACAAGTCTCACATTGGAAAGCTGCAACCCGAATGGAGACCTCATTAGTATCGATGAACGAGTTAAATTCGATCAACACACCTTTTTCTCCCGTATGTACTAACAAATGCTTTAACTCTCAAGTCAGTTCATCTTTCACAAGCTCGCCGAAACTTTGGTGGCGAGGGCTTACCTTTCTAAGGGTACTGGGACGATCGAACCTGGGCACATAACAAAAACGTGTGTATGAGCTCAAGGTACTGGGAGTCGAGACACCCAAAAGAGAAGATAACCCACCGTTTATGACACATGGAACAAGCATGTTTTCGCTCTCTCGCAAGTGTGAAATCTTCCTCGGGTGGAGCTGAGGACATTTGTACGGCCGATAGATGATCACTGGCCATGTTCAGAGGTGTTGGCGGAACGATGGGAGAGATATCATTCGAAGATGCTCCGCCGGGTCTCATGAGGATAGCCATCTCGGAAGGTGTTGGAACTTTGATTGTACTGGATGATGGTACAGAGCCCGTGTAGGGAGTGCTTTTAAATGAAAATACAGGACCAAAAGCGGCGGAGTCTGCCAAACGTGCATGCGCATGTCCGTGGCTTGAGGGGAGATTCCAAGGCAACTGATAAGGATGAGCATCCTCGGTATAGACGTCGCTACAAAGTGCTGATGATGGATTCGCGGATTCTGACAAGCCGGTGGCGCGGTTTACACTGGCAACTGGCAACAATGTGGAGGAGCTCGACAGCGCATTTGTCGATGTCCCTCCACCATCAAACAGATGATATGGATACTCGTGATCTGGATAACCAGTCGGCGGTGATCCATCCGAGAAGCCATGGCTGGAAGTTGTCCCTGTATGGCTTGCTGACGCTACTGGATAATCGACATATGTCGTCGTATTCTCCGCGAAAAAGAGAGTCGAGGGATCGTTGGGATAATAATGAGTTTGCATGGAGCAGAAGGGGAATCTTTCACAACCCGTCTGAACGGTGTGTTATATATAATAATGAACTTACTTCTTCTTTGACCTTTTCGAACTTGCTAGGCCTCCATATCTTCGCGGACGGTCTTTACATAACTCAAAAGTCATTCGAGCAGTGGCTTCCTTTCCTCATGGCATTCATCACAGAACCATTGTCCAGCTGAGTCTATCGGAATTCGCTCATCATAGTCCCATCTCTTTGAGGAGGGTCACCTTACTTCCCACTCTTTCGGGTCACTTTGAGCTTCGATCGCCTTTGCTATTGACGATTCACCAAAGCGCTCATGTTTTTCGCACAGACTTAGAGCCTTGCGCTCACTGGTTTTCGGCGCGGAGCTTTGACTACCAGGCTTCCTTTACCTCACGCTAATGACCCGCCGATTTCTGAAACTCACTCCTTCACGTCGCAACGGCCGGAATTTGCTCATAATTTGACCACTGTCCACAACCTTGCCTTCGACCTATCAATCATAATGTAAATAAAATCTTCCTGACAGAATCATCCGTAGAGCCAAAGTCAAGGCAGCTGTTTCGGATACTTAGTAGACTTTACTTTCGGCTTTCTAAAGCCAATTATTACAGGCGAGATTAAAATTTCGTCGGCTTCTGAACGCGCCTTCCAGTCACGACGTCCGAGTAAACTCCTCGTCGAAACGTGGTGATGAGGGTCAAATCTTAGTGGTCTGGATTCGATGGGGACCCGGTCAAGGTTTTATGCTATGACACCAAAATAGGCCGCTACTGTAAAAATCCCAGATGCAAGCTGCCGTCAAGGGAAGGGAAAGGGAAACGGCCCAGAACGCGATGTCTGAGGACGGTCGTTTGTATGTACAACCTTTTACGATCGTCGTCAGCTTCTTGCCATCGATAACGTCGATAAGAACCTTCAAGATTCAAACCCCCCCGCAGCCTACTCAGATTAGGACAGATTAGAACCTTGGCTGATCTGACCTTTCCATAGACAGAAAACACGAGGCGACATCTGTGACTCAACTTGATCTTCGTGTATGGGAATTTTTCGGTCATTTTATACCCACTCTGATTTGTCTCAATTCGTCAGAGGAAGGGCCCGGGGAAAAGAAGGAAAAGCGGCTCAATAGCAAGTTAAGCAACAAAGGCGCTTGGCCAAGTGCAAAATATGTACAGTTGTATATTTATGATGACAGCCCTATCCCCGTACAACCCTACTTACCTACTGAATTTACCGAATAGCTTACTGCCACCTGCCACGAAAAAGATAATTAGATATCAGTTCTGCTCGCACGAGGTGCCAATGAATGCGATCAGAAAAAAGAACTTACTTTGCGCTAGGCTGCCCAATTTGTTCTCTAATTGCTGTCGAGTATCTTGTCCAGCCACCTTGTCGACGGCATTTCGTGCATAGTTTGAGAAACTTGAGGACGACGGTGCCGATGGCATATGCTGAGGATAGCTTGAATAACTTCCAGGGTAAGGCTGATACTGATTTGGGGGAGAGGTTGGCGAAGTCAGGTTTGCTGGGCCTGATAGAAGAGAAGGATGATGATTCAGTTCAGTGATGACTGAAAGGGTCAGATTAACCGGGAGATTAGTGTGCTTACGGGGAGGGATCGATGGAGGGGTGGACCACTGACCCGGACTATTGTACGACGATTGCGGAAAGGTATTTTGGGAAGGAGGATAGCCTGGCATCTGATACTGCTGCGACGGAGGCGGGGGATGTCCATTGTAATAAGGATCTGGAAACCCTCCAACAGATGGACTATGCGGGGGACTCATGCCCGGATAAGGACTTCCGAAAGTAGACTGGGTAGAATAAGAAGGATGAGAAGGATGAGAAGTGTACGGAACTGTGGGTGGTTGAGACGACGTCGGACCATAAAATTCAGCACGAAAGGAAGGACTGCTCGGATGCGGGGTATGCGTAGAGTGCGAAGAGCCTTCTTGAACCGCAGCCGGACCGTAGGGTCCAGGAGGAAACGATGGGCTTCCTGAAGGTGTATACGAAGCTGTGCCACTAACTCGATGATCACTAGCACTTGTTGGTCCAGAAACACGAGCTTGAGGAAAAGACAATGGTGATCCCACAGAAGCCACTGGTGGTTGTGGACTAATAGGTCGATTTGAAAGCTCACAGGATGGGTGTAGGATCCCACTCTGAGAATCATAAGGACTGGTTGGCCTCGAAGAAGACGTCTGCGGTATAGTAAGCGAGGCTTGTGACGGGGTTCGATTTGGTCGATACGGCTGATAGGACATCGAAGTAGGAGGTCGATTGGTATCTGCATTCCATTCTGCAGGAGGCCAGTGAGGTGAGGCAGCGGGATGCGCTGCCTGATCCGAATTCTGAGTCGAGGATAAGGGTTGCGACTGGGGCTGTGACTGAGTTTGAAGTCGAGAAGCTGAAATTGACTGTGGTCGAGACAAACGATTAGGTTCGGGAGGACGGGAACGAGAGGGATGAGTAGGCGGTGATATCGAGGCATTCGAACTAGATGAACTTCGACTAGGGTGGGAAGGATGTAGAGGCGGCCGCGTAACTGACGACGCTGTCGTATCGTTCGCGAGAGAAGGCTGAGAGAGGCCAGAAGCGACTATTGACTCATTTTGAGCATGGTGAGATGAACTTGCACTTGCATCAGCAGGCTGTGATTGACCACTGGCCTGAGCTTGAGAGGAAGTAGTAGTGGAATGTTCAGCCTCAAGGGAGTATGGAGGCGGAGGTACTTCGTCTTTGCTGTCCTTCTGGGCGGCGAGCCAGCTCTGATACGATTGTCCGCCGTCTAACTCCCCAGCAGAGCCAGACACAAAATCTCCAGATTTGATATTTATTTCTTCAAACCGCGGCCGCGTGGACCAATAATCCTGTAACTCCTTGGATGGAAACGTCTCATGAATCATTCTCTCGCTACGCAGACCTTCTGCAGCGAAGCCACAAATCCTCATATACCTGAAAAGTAAAAGAAGCTCACTTAATACCTTTTTAGGATAAGAGCATGCAGACAAATGACTGTACCAGTCTGCCGGTAAATCATAACCATCTGCGTCGAGGGCCATGAATGAGTATTTGTCGGAACGGGGCAACAAACGGCTCTTTTCAACAACAGGCATGAGAGCGGTGCCTTCGTCATATCTAAATCGTCGCGGGTATTGGATCAATATTCAAAGTGGAAGGGGATAGATATGTAAGACCGTACTCATCCCACATAGCCCTTGATAGAAGGCGATTAGGAACGGTATTTACTATACAAGATCCAGGGTACATACCCATACATGACTCTTAGGCCTAGTCGCTTTGCATTGAAGATTTGCTGCCACAAGAATTTGCCACCGTTGCGTTTAATTTGATTGAATTTCCACTTCCCCTCGCTTAGGTTTAAACCCTTGAGATAAAAGACAATGTCGACCAACTTTCCTTTTCTAACGCCAATTGAAAGTGCTTACGGAAAAGCCGGGATATATCACAGGGATATAGTCAATCTTTCTTCCACCTTCCTCGTGACTCTTTCGGAGGAGTTCGATGTCTGCTTTCATGTAATGTTCCGCATATATATCGACATGTTCTTCGTCTGTTAATCGTCCGACCATCCAGGGTGATATAGCATCAAATTCCTTGAGCCACACGTCGAGAAAGGCAGGATTGCGATCCGCGTCTTCAGTAGACCTTCGCCAATGGGTAGCTGTACCTATTGATTTAAATCGAGAACGTCATCGACTACACCCGCGATTCATAGAATATGCTTACCAGCCATAATGTAGGCCCCGCCTGGAGTAACATCTCTCACAAAGCGTGTGACTTCCCTTACCAGCTCAGGAGTGTCCTTTCTCTTATCGAAACCGAAGCCTATTTACAAGGGACACCCCAAGTTAAGAACGAGAAAAATAGCTCAAGAAACCGACAATACTGACCCCAAAGGCCAATTACTGGCATCCCTCTTTCTCTGAGGTAATTCGGACTTTCTAGTATACGTTTTTCGCGGACAAGGTGAATCCAGTCTTTCGTGAAAATCCTCATTACATCGTCGGGCTCGACACCTGTAACGTCATACCTAGAACATACTAAGCAAAGGATGCTGGGACAGAACATAAACAAAACGTACATGACTGCGAAAACACGACCCTCCTTCTCCGCGGCTTCCTGAACGCGATCATTAATCTCATCTCGAAGACGCGGTATACCTTTGCTCCCGCGTTCCGTATCGCATTGTCCTAAAAATCTTTGCAGAAAGACACCATCGATGCCATGGCGCGCCATCCAATGGAAATGTCTGCTCGTACACAGATCAGCTAATTCCTAGGAAAAGGACGCCAATACAATCATACCTTTGGACAGTCTTTGGGTGACGAGAAGAGAAAAGGGTAGCTGGTTCTCCAGAAGGAGACTTGACTCCTGGAACCGGATATAACTCTGAAGGAGAGTATTCCGATACATCAGGCCACGGATCAATAGTAGGTCTTCCACCATTAGGTATTGGGTAGTTCAACCAATGCAACCATCCATGATGGCCTTAAGAGATTGGTGAGAATCGTGAAGGCTTGTAAGGAAGGTCAAGCGTGATTATACCTGGGTCGATTGGCTCCCCGTCGCCGGCACAAGTGAACCTGAAGATTTGGTTTAGACCAGAGCGAGATAAAACTGGGCAACTTACCATCCTTGGTATCCTACAAGAAATTTATCCTGAATGGTTGAAGGGTCCGCGCTGCCGTAGTGATGATAAATCAGGTAATGTCGGATATATATGCTGGGAACGATTATTACCGTTTCAATACGCGACCACCATCTTGACCATCCATAGTCGCGATACCAAGTTTTGAACAAAATAAACTAGCTGTTTCGATGATCGTGGTGGTTGTTCAAGAGACAAACAGCACATAAACAACGCTGAACTTTGCTTTGACTTGATTTTGCTTCACTTGACAGATATGGACACAAAGGCTAGGCAATTAGCATTGGTATTGGTCGAATTACTAGCAAAGTTCGTCCTTTGACTGTTCATGATAACCTTCTACTCACTTCTTCGCAGAAAACCTGCTTCTTCACGCCTTCTAGTTGGCATCTATGGTATACCTGCCTCTGGTAAATCAACTTTTGCGGATCTTTTGTACAAATACACCGATAATCTACTTCAAAATGATCCTCAAAACTCCGTCAGAGCCATTCTCGTTTCACTCGATGGGTGGCACCTTAGTCGTGCCCAATTGAACCAGTTTCCTGACCCCAAGCTTGCCCGAGACAGACGAGGCAGCCACTGGACCTTTGATGGTCCAAGTTACCTACAATTTGTGCAAAACTTACGCGAAGAAGTCCTGCCAGAGACAACGCGAATCATAACAGCGCCTTCTTTTGACCATGCAATCAAAGATCCTACGCCCCATGCCGTGCAAATTCATCCCCAACATCGTATCGTCATCATAGAAGGTCTCTACACTGCTCTGGATGTCGATTCTTGGAGAGAAGCTGCGCTTTTACTCGATGAGCGTTGGTATCTCGAACTAGATTTCGAGGAAGCACAGAAACGGCTAATTAAAAGACATCTGGTTAGTGGTGTAGCCAAGGATCCTGCAGAAGCAGTCTGGCGAGCAGAAGCAAACGACATGCCTAGTGAGCGCGCGTTTTCATGAATATCCGTTGAATTCGCGCTGAAGGATTGTTCCAGATGGTAGATTTCTGTTAGCGAACACGGTGGAAGCAACGAGGGTTATAATGAGTGTGGAGGATCCTGTCCTCGCCCTACCTGCATAAACTCTTGTCTCACGAAATCAAAGTCTATGTCTAGTCCCTGTCTATATATCTGTACAAATTCATGTCGTCGAACCTTTCAAGATTTCCTGGCATCAGTGATACCAGATCAGTGTACGTCGAGCTCTATTGAGCTATCCATTGGAAATGACAAGTTGATTATTGTACAGAACGTATTCTCCTTGAATCCTTCTTTGAAGATTCTCTTCACGTTCCTCGAAGTTGCGAATCTAACTGCACGGTCCGGTCATTAAAACCTCAACCTCTCATATTCCAAACGAGTACCTCTGTCTTGCATGAGTTTAAGCGAAGCCAGCAGATCATGATGTAAGTGTAAGCTCTGAACGAAGAAAGATATAATGGCCTCCTTCGGCGATGAAGCCTTGAGAATCTCTTGATGATGCTCTGTTGACTATTCGGTGAGTTTCACGATTGTTCAAATTTTGAAAGAGTCATACTTTTAATTGAAGGACTGTCTACAGTACATAGCATGTAGAAGTTTGGCGCCGGCAGTATGTTCAGGTGAGTGTTTGAGTTGGTCTGAAGTTCACACATGCATCGCGCCGGTCAAAGTTTGTGAACCGTAAAATGCCTGACAATGTAAAGATAAACCTCATAAGGTTAATCCGTTCCTAAAAATGCATCACAGACATCCAGAACCGGAATGCTTATACTATGCTGAGGGAGGAATTAAGCTGTGGTTTTCCGTCTATCAAAGCCAATGCACAGGTTGACCACAATATGTCCACAAACTTGGCCACTATTCGTCTGGGTTAGGAGCGCAAATGACCACCTTCCGGGTGGAATCAAGGCTTGGTTTCATTCCTTTCAATCTCACGAGCTGTATAGAGAAAAGTGAACACATGTCATTATCACCAAGTGAGTGTTCCATTTTGTTCATCTATCACTTCATACTCCTCATTCCATTCAGTATGCAGGTCATAGCCTGTGGGATGGGTTACGTGTCTTGCCGTATGCTCAAAGCTCAATAGCTGAAGATAAGCAGCCACCTACTTATAGTGACCAGACGCGATAACGGTCGTTTCTTCCTTTAGACCCACCTTGAAGTTCGTGAGCATGTCCAAAATAGAGGCCAAAGACGAACTTTTACTCGCACAACTCGGGTATAAACAGGAATTCAAACGTGATTTCGGATTATTGGAGCTCTTTGGGGTAGCGTTTTCGATTCAGGGCGTCTTGCCTTCTATAGCGTGAGCGATATCTTGCGTTCGTCGATAAAACCGATCCCATTAATATCTTTCAGGTCGGTTCTAGTGTACTCTATTCCATATGGTGGCGCCGTCAGTATGGTATGGGGATGGGCTGTATGCTCGCTTTTCCTCATGTCCATCGCTACAGCGATGGCTGAGTTGGCATCCTCTGCGCCAACTTCCGGAGGCGTTTATTACTGGACATTTCACTTTTCGTCTTCAAAGTATCGAAATTATCTTTCATGGCTTCTGGGATGTACGTAGCCGCTGTCTCTCTAGTTTTCCGGTGACTTCCAACAAAGGGTATGTGCTAGATATCGACACTATAACATACATCGTTGGAATAACAGTAAGTGAAACCGACTTAGGTGTCATTCTCCACTCACGAAGGTAGGGTATCAACTGGGGTTGTGCAGTACAAATCATGGCAGCCGCGAGTATCGGCTCTGATTTATCTTTCGAGGCAAACGTTTTTCAAACCTAGTGAGTTCGCGAATAACCTTTGCATCCTCAATGTACACGTAGTAAATCAAGCTGCCCCTTGACTATTTAGTGGTGTTTTTGTAGCACTTGTTGTCTTGCAAGCCACGCTTTGCAGCTTTGCCACCAAAATCATCGCAAGACTGCAATTGGTGTATATCCTAGTGAATATCGGGTGCGTAGCACTATATTTATTTGAAGCCCTCCAGTAATTGTCTAACAAGATTAATCTTGTAGCCTATGCTTTGCCATTATTTTTGGACTGCCTGCGAATACGCCTTCCGAATTCAAGAACGACGCAAAGTACGCATTTGGGAATATCCAAAACTGTGACTTTCCAGAAAAGTGTTATCACACATGTCTCTTTCGGCTAATGTTTATATTCCAGTGTCTTCCTGGCCAGATGGATTTGCGTTCATCTTGGGATTCCTCGCTCCTTTGTGGGTTGTCGGTTGCTTTGACTCTACCGTGCATATCAGCGAAGAAGCAAGAAACGCGAGCACCGCTATACCTTGGGCCGTCATGCTTTCCACGGCGGTTTCTTGTGTCTTAGGATGGGGTGCATACTTCCGATTCTTTGTTACCGAGTTAGATCATGCTGAGTCTTCTTGTTTCCAGCGATTAACGTATCCCTGGCGTTCAACATGGGAACAGACACTGACGGAATATTATCCAACGAAATTGGACAACCTTTAGCTACTGTATGTAATCCCCTTTATTATCCTGCCATCTCGTTTCTCTACTAAAGCCTTTCTAGATATTTTTCAATGGTCTCGGTCAACGCGGTACCTTGGGCGTTTGGACTATCCTAATCATCACTCAGGTCATGATGGGCACAAGCGGCGTAAGCAGGTTTGAAATTGACCATCACGGCCATTGAGTTTATACTCTTCTTGTAGTTTGTGTCATCTTCCAGACAAGTTTTCGCCTTCAGTCGCGACGGTACGTTCATTATATCATCTTTTTACATGGAAGCGTGGACTGCATAATTGTTTTTTGTTCACAGGAGCATTGCCCTTCTCGAAATATCTTTACTACGTCAATGAAAGTCTTTCAGTCCCCATACGCTGCGTGTGGTTCTCCGCTACTGTGGCAATACTACTTGGATTGATTCCGCTTGCAGGTAATGCTGCAAGCGGAGCGATATTTGCTATGGGGGTAGTTGGACAGTATATCTGCTATTCTACAGCTATCATGGCACGGTGGCTTGGTGGCACGGCATTCGAAAAGGGGCCCTTCCATGTGGGTGTATTGGTGAGTACAGCATACGATGTCTTATAGTCCGTTCCATTGTCGCTAACTCGTCTTTCCGTCCATTTTTTGCCACTCTATGTAGAGTTTTCCTATATCACTCTTTGCCGTACTCCTTCATGCTGTTCATGAGTGTCATCTTGCTGTTCCCGGCCGAACCCAACCTTTCTGGTCCTGCGACGATGAATTATACTGTGCTCGTCATGGGAGGCGTGATGCTTTTTTCGACAGCCTACTACTTCTTCCCTGTCTATGGAGGTGTCCATTGGTTCAAGGGTCCAGTGGTGACGACTATAACTGATTCGGTAGCATCGAAGAGCACATCGGAACTAGAAATTCGTGAAAAAGAATGATTTATGTACAAAATTGAATGATAAAGAACGATTGGGTTTACTTAACTTGAGGTCCAGCGACGACCTGAAAATTTTAAGCTATCTCGGCACCACATCCATTGCATTACAATGGAGGTGGAACCAAACAAGTCCAAGCGCTGTGCGGACCGGGACAGGACATATCTTCACTATGATTCAGACCACATTTACGCTACCATTTACTGCTCTTATCATCGTCTCTGATTGCTGGATAGTTCATGGCCCGAATTCTGTCAATAGTCACGCGTATATCGCGTGTTACTCCGCAGAGAACCAACACTCACAGAACTCGCGCGCTTCGTATATCTCCGGGTCATACATCTATACTGCCAAAGTCCCTACTTTTAATCAGAAGAAGTAGTACGTGTTCATACAAGAATTAATATGCTTTCTGTCTTTCATTTCCTTTTATAGGTAGTGCTATAGAAGAAGAACCGAAGGAAACAGTGGAGGGAAGGACACCACACGATGCTGAAAAGACGTTAAAGCCGACCCTAGTTCCTAAACATATTACAACGCAAACACCCCTCCATGTCGCCTCCCTTCCTCCTCTCCCAGCCCGACCAACGACCTGGCCGACGCCATGGCTGAGCCTTTCTGAAATGCAGGAATACCTTTTCCCGTTGAAGGAGCTGTTACCGTTGAAGGCGCTTCCTACCTCCATTATCAAGAAGAAGCTGTGGCGGCACAGACTAGCTCCAGTGTTGGATCTTCCTGAGATTGAGGCAAAAACATCGGCACTTCGACTGGATCCTGGTAACGGCCTCCATTTCATGATGACATACACTTTCACAGACGTTGAATCCGCGAATGAGTTCGTTGCAGAGGTGAAGAGGATCGCCAGAGTGGAGAAGGTCACTTCTAGTCTCCCTTCGTACACCATGATTCAATATCTTAATCTTCCTATACAGCATGATCCCGAGTACTTGCACGTCTACCGCCATTCAGACTCTAAACAAGGGGACATTGAAAAAAATCCGTACGCAGCACGAGTAAACATCCGAATAACCACCCACCAGGCGTATATCCCTAAGGAGATATCTGACTTGCGGCCAACAGTGCCTGCGAGGGATGTTACTCGTAAGTTTGCACGCTTCATTCTATTTTTTTATTTCCATGTCTATGTTTATCTCTCCTTATACATTTTTAACGTACCAACCAATCCTAATCTCATCAAACATATATCCAGCCTTCCCAGAAGACCTTATTATTTCCGGAGTCACCATGCGCGATGTGCGGTTCGCGATGCTTGTTGACCAGGTTTTCAGAGAGCAGTTTTTGATTGTTCCTCCTGACTCTGAAGACGGAGACAAGAACGAAAACGAAAACAAGAACCAGAATGAAAGCGAGAACCAGAACGAAAGCGAGAACAAAAGCGAGATATTCAACAAAGCAAGAAAAAGAACTGGTCTACCCTCCTTTATTCGTCCTCCCGCTACCCCGTCCGTATCCCTAGCGTACCCCAACCCCACGCTAAGTCCAAATACCCAACAACTCCTCTCCTCCATTTTTCGATCCCGTTTCTGCCCATGCTGCGGTCTCCCGCACGCATTAGCTGACTGTCCTGTGAGGGATGAGTATCCACAATATTCTTCAATCAAGAGGTTGGGTGAGAAGAAGGCGGCTTTAGGGGAACAAATCAAGGAAGAAGGGAAAAAAGGGGAGAAAGGGAAGAAAGGAAAGGAAGAGAAGGAAGAGCAAGGGTATAAGGAATGAGTAATGGATTTCTTTCAATATATCTTAGTGGCACTTCTTTGTTAATGAAACAACATGCAGCATACTGATACTGATACTGATATGTATACAAAAGCCTCAAGAATTATTATTTGAAACTTGAAACAGTAGAAGGGGACTTATACCTACAGATGGACTCTAACATTACTGCTTCCATCTAGTAAGTTCAAGGTCTGTTGCCTCATCGCTGCGTGGTTGGCCCAAACCAAAAGTGTACACAGATTTCGATGCCCTACAATACTCAACGCTGATTACCCAGTTTTATTTGCATAGAGTGTCGACACTAGCGCTGAGGCAAACCCTGTTCGAAGACCAAAAAAGCGCAATATCAGATAAGCTACCCCCGCCATACCTACTGTATGGGCGGGTTTTGGGATTAAGGACAATAATGACATACATGGCGAATTCCGGCATGTTGAAGCCAAAACTTGTCCGGCATGTTGAAGCCAAACTGGGTTTCGTTGTAACGGAAAACCCTTCAGTAGCTGAGTCCCTTTGAATACCTGAGGAGAGGTAATCGTGAGGAGGAGAGTAAGTACGACAGCACCACTTCAAGGAAATCAAACCCGTCTCCAAACGACCATTCTATCCTTGCCCTTGTGTACTTCGCTTTGTATTTCCAGGGGCGGTATTTTGTTGTAAACGATCTCCCATCCATTGGCACCGCCTGATCCATTCGAGCCGCCTGGAATTACATATATGAGCTTGAAAGTAACAATAATGATGATAGGTTATGGCTGGTGAAAACTCACCCAAAACCTCGACATAATTTTCAAACGAGGACCAAAATGGTGGACCTAATTTGTATGGCTCTGGTACATGAGGAAACATCAGAGTAATCAGATACCCTCCCGGTTTTACAAGTGACTGCATCTGCGATCCCCATGCTGGGCGCATGGAGGGAGGAATTGCGACATAGAACCTGTATATCTGTTGAAGAGTATGATACAAAAGATACTTCAAGTTAAACGCACGTATAATCGTAGATCAAGTCGAATTTCTCCTCGTCGGGCAGGTCAAGTTTGAAGAAATCAACAGCATCAAACTTGACGCTGGCAGCCACGGAGGGAGGAACTCCCTTGGTTTTTAAAAAGCTGTGATGAAATAAATGAATATAACATAGTACATTATGATATAAACAGCATGTAAACCTACTCATTAGCAGCTGCCACAGCGGTAGTCGACACGTCGTAGCCTAGAACAGTCTTCCATCCTAAAGCAGAGGCCAGGTATATAGTGTCGAACCCCTGCAATGTAACGATAATTAGCTACTGTACTGATAAAATGCCAGAGAGATAGTGATACCCTGCCACACCCTGGAACCAACGCTTTGCCTTCTTTGGGAAATGGCACTTCGCCCGACTCAACAAGCCACCTGAGTGGAGGTTGAATGTCGGATGTGCCCGCTTCCCAGGGAGTAAGACCGTTAGACCTACACAGGATATGTATGGAGAATCAGCACTGAAGTACGAGGAGAGTATAGAAAAATGAATGCTCCTTACCAGACCTTATCCCAGCTCTCCGACTCTGTAGTGAGATATTTTCTCATTTCGTTTGCATTAGGAAAAGCAGATTTATGGAACGCATCGACTTCAGCTTGGTTCTGTGCCATGGGTAGTCAGTATATTATATGTTCGAGTGGTGGTGGTGGTGGTGGTGGTGGTGGTCGAAGGTTGAAGTTGTGAAATTTGGCGATCTTTTATTGAACTTTTGAGGTATATTTATCCATGACAAAGGAATCTGATAACGAGACGAGTAAAAATACAATTAGAGACGAAGAATAACAGGCAAATCTTTTTTGTCCTGAGAAATTTGTTACTAGTGAAAGAAGTATGCGATTATCGCAGGTCGAATAAAGCCTGCTGGGAATAGTAACGGGTGTGATTCAGATATTTCAAAATAAGTAGACTGAGCATATAATAAACGAAAGCCAACGAACGTGTTTAAGTTTGGTATCTCTATTCTCTAAATAGGTGAGAGAGGGGGATAATGTCCTGCGAAGAGATATCGAAATATGTGCATAGGCATGCGGTGGTGAGTCGAAATTACTCACACAACATTGTAATATTTAAGTTTCGATTGAGCCTGCTGGAGAATAATTCAACAGATTGAGTCTATACATGGACCAGTCGGCGCCTAAGAACGTAGCATCGTAGAATCGAGGCCAATAACGAAGAGTCCTCTAATCCTCGAATCACGTCGAACACAAAAAGTTCGAAGTTGGGAAAAAACGTACTACGTGCTCGCGTGAACAAGTCTCGACAAAAGATATGCACATTAAGGCTTAGAAATACCAGGTACAAGTTAAGCTGTAGGCGGGCAAGGTTCAAATGCAGTGAAAGCCTTACTCGTCTCAAGAACGGTGAGTTACTGCTTATACAATAAACTTCATTCAAAAAAAGCAATGGAAAAGAGAACCGTAGTAGGAGAGACCGCGGTATCCGTAACATCTGCTATGAATTCTTGGAAATCCAAGGAAGGTTCGATATAAGAAAAGGCAAACTCCGTTCTTCTGTATCGCGCGCGATTGCAACAGGGATTTGTGGCCATCTATCCGGAACGGAAACCTGCAGAAAGGCGACCTGTGATACCACTGCTGGTAAAAGTGGAAATCAAACACTGTAGAGGTAGATTATTCAGGTGAGTCTGAATGATGAAGAACTCTTCGCTACTTATCAAAGCGATAGTGTTCATGATAGCTGCGTAAAACATGAGTAGAACATGTATGTTGAATGAGGGGGGACTATAGGTTCCTCAGGGTTCCTCAATACAGTGGCAGAATCGTGTACTACTAGTATACTACTAGCTCTGCAACTCTATGAGTTGATGATCTCAGTTCATTTCGCATTGGTTCAACGTGTCAGCTCAAATATATGCGTCGGTAAGAGGCGTAGCATCTCCAGAGATTTGGGTTTCGGCAGAGGATACGTTGTTGGGTGAAAGCAATCATGATCATTCGAATCTCGATGCAGGGAGCGAGAGAGGCTGCAGGCAGGCGTGACTGTGTGAGATAGTTCCACGTGATGCACCCACCACCTTGTCTTCGCGTTTGCTAGTAACTTGGAACTAGCCCGTCTTATAGTTCACGAACGCGTAATCCTTCGTGAACTTTGACTAGAGGCCCGATCAAGGACTGCACTATGGAAGACGATCTTCAAGCACTACAAGGTATCCATCTATCTCCGGTACTCGAATCGCGCCTCGAGTTGCTTGCGCGGACAGCAGAAGCACTAGGATTGGACGAGCCATCTATTATAGGGTACGATGATTGTACACTTCCAATAGTAAATCGATCTACTCACAAAGCTCACAGCATCAATCACTCCATTGCCAATGTTTCCACTCGCCGCCTCAACCTCAAACTCTCCGTAAACCGCGCGATCTACGTCGAAAAAGAGCTACGGCTACACTTAGCTAAGCTGGAAGCAGAGCTTGCACTTTTACGGAAGTGGACTGTGTCGCTGAGTGGGGTAACTCCAGAATCGGAAACTGCTTTTGAAACCGGAGCCGGAACGGAAACTGCAGAGTCTCTGGAACGTCGTCGGCAGGTTATCATTCGCAAAGCGAAGGAGTATCAAGCTCAACTTGTTCAATTGAACTCCACAAATGCCTCAAGCTTTTCCACGAATGTCAGTATATCGGAACTCACGCGTTTGCAGGAGCAGAACAAAGAGCGGGAAAAGGAGATTCGTCGAAAGAGAAAAAAAGTTGAGGCCTTTCGTGGATTGCCTGCAGTACGTCTGTGTTCATTCTCGACCGAAGAAGCTCGCCCATATCTTCTGATATTATAACGTAGAACCCAGACCTTGCGCGCCTTACCCTCCTCCAAGCCACGCAGAATTTGCAAGATCTGACTCGTGTACGGGAGGGACTACTAGGAAAGATGGTAGACGGTTAAGGCCTCTATAGGCCTCTATGCTCCTCAAACTTCGGCTTTGTCATGTTGATGAGTGTCTGAGTTGCCGGCTACCCGAGATCCCGACACCTGCTCTCATATCAAGGTGATATTTCACCGTAAATCATGCTTGCAATTCCCAATACCGTCCCGATGTTACTCTCCGTCTGAATAATTCGTGTGGAGCTCTATGCACAGATACAGCGTCTGAACGGGCTCACGGAGTAATAGCGGCGATATATGTCCGAATTAGGTAAACTTTCTGCCAAATAGAGAAAAACAAATTTAAATTGTTAATCACGCGAAAAGTTTTTACTGTACATCCGGCACTCACCATGCCGCAGACGACCTGGATTCTCAATGACATCTGGGCGCCGCGCTGGCTGCAGCATTCTATTCCTATCTTCAACCACACGGTTTCTTGCGGTTTCAACTCGCCGCTCCTACATTTTCTTTCTTCCTTGCTATCAACACATTGACAACGTTTTGGCAATTTTTTACTGCCTTTAAACGGCAAACTTCCACTCTCTCAGCACTTTTACCTTGAAAATAATGAAGTATTCTTGGGCCGCGACTGCTGTGGCTTCGAGTTCGCTGTTGGCAAATACGGTCCTCGCAGCTTCAGCAGATGACTGGACAAACAGGGCTATCTACCAAGTAAGTATCAGGCACAAACACAACACGGGATGCAAGGTCCTCATAACTTTCTTTCCTAGGTCGTTACTGACAGATTCGCTTTGGGCAATGGTTCTTCACCGAGTTGTGATACGAGTCAGAAGAAATACTGTGGCGGAAACTGGCAGGGAATCATTAATAATCTGGATTATATCCAGAGTATGGGCTTCGATGCTATCTGGATATCCCCAGTCGTAGAAAATGTTCAGGGTACGACGACTGAGGGTGAGGCTTACCATGGGTGAGTTACTTGTGCTTTTGTCCCTCAATGCCTCAAGCTGATATGTATCAGATATTGGCCACAAAACATCAATTCCCTCAACTCCAATTTCGGTTCTGCCGATGACCTCAAGAGCTTGAGTAGCGCTCTTCATGGCAAGGGCATGTATCTCATGGTGGATGTAGTTGTGAACCAGTAAGTCTACAATTCGCTTCATCCTTTCGCGTTTCTAAAATTTCTTCAAACCAGTGTCGTGGCAAACCCTACCAATACATCCAGTGTCTGGCCCGAGACCTTCGACTACTCCCAGTTACAACCCTTTGGTGGTTCAAACTCCTTTCACACTCAATGCTTTATCGACGACTACAATAACCAGACTGATGTCGAGCAATGCTGGTTGGGTGACTCCGGTCTTCCTCTTCTCGATCTCGACACGGAAAACAGCACAGTAGTAGATACCATGTACAGCTGGATCAAGAACCTTGTCTCTGATTATAACATTGATGGACTTCGGGTTGACACTGCAAAGCACATCAGACAGGACTTTTGGCCTGATTTCGCGTCCAACGCTGGAGTGTATACTGTCGGGGAGATTCTGATTGGCAACGTTACTTATGCTGCGCCTTACACTAGTGGGTTCTTAAGTTCTACCGAGTGGTTATACTTCGTCTGACCACCCCTGTTCGCGCAGAGGCTCTTGATAGTGTTCTTGACTATCCCACTTACTACGCTGTTTACGACGCGTTTACGAATGGCACCTCCGGCAACATGAGCGTCATCACCGAAATGGTTACCCAGGCTCAGGACCAATACAATCATGGTACTTTCTACGTTGGGTCATTCGTCGAGAACCAGGATAACCCTAGGATTCAATCGACCGTTACTGACCAATCAGTGAGATTTCCAGAATCTCTTCTTGGAGTGTTTAGATATGCTTATCAACAACTATGCAGATCGTGAAAAACGCCATGACATGGCCTTTTATAAACGATGGAATTCCCATTCTTTACTACGGTCAGGAACAAGGATATCAGGGAGGTAACGACCCTGCTAACCGTGAAGCGTACGTCATCCCTTATCTCGAATCTTTCTTCGTTCATCCTAACGACCTTGTCTTGCAAGTCTCTGGCTTTCTGGCTTCAACACAGAGAACAAGCCTCTCGTCACCCATGTCAAAACGCTCAACGCCGCTCGCAAACAAGCTATTTCCTACAACTCGTCCTTCCTCACCACCAAAGCCTCCTTCATCTCCCAATCCTCCACGTCCACCTTGGCCGTATCCAAGCCGCCTTTCCTTGCCCTCCTCACGAACGGAGGCTCCTCATCTAGTGTATCGTGGAGCATTCCTAGCTCTGCAGGGCTGTACACTGGGAGCGAGACGCTTGTGGATGTGTTGACATGTGAAACAGTTACCCCAAGCTCAGATGGGAGTTTGAGTGTCAGTGCGAGCAGTGGGTTGCCGAAGGTGCTGATGCCTGCGGAGGCGTTGAGCAAGTCTGGCTCGTTGTGTTCTAGTCAGGCTAGCGGGAGCGGAGCGGTAGGATTGAAGGGTTTGGGCATGGGGTTAATGGGCGCAGTCGTGGTTGGGATTGTTTCGGGTGTAATGGTATTGGCGTAATGGTCGACTATTGCATTCCATTTCTTGCAAAACCCATCGACATGATTCGATGTATGCTGGAGCTCTTGCGCACGCATTATGATGATGTGATCCATTCCTTCCTTGCTCGTTTATTTGCTTGCTACCATTTGTTCCTTTGCATGGACTTTGGATCTTTCATGACATTTACATCTTTTAGGCAGAGGTCATTTCTATCAACATCAATGGACAATTTAGAATCTTTTTCATACAGTAATCGTATATTTCGCTGTAATATCGAGGTTCATATACAGTATACATAGCGAATCTCATAGATTCACTGTCATTCATTTTTTGTATTCGAGCTGCATATACTTGGGTGTACAACTGTGCCTCTTACTCTGCGGACAGAAAGATGATTGCATGTAGTGCGACGTGAGAAATGGTCAACAACCTTATGCTTTCAATTATTGACAATCGCAATGAAACACCGATAAATTTTGGGATTCATTCACCAGAGTATATGAAATCAGTACAACTACACTGCATGGAACATATATTGATACAAGCAAGGCTCTGAACGTGTGTTATGTAGTCCTTTGCGACCGTTACTTTTATGATAATTTTTACAGTTTTATTCTGGCAGGATATCGCTTCAGCCGTACAATTTCCCGAGACCTAATCCCTGGTATATCTTATCGAGACCCTGTTGAATCGGACATCAGCTGTGTACACTAAACGAAAAGGAAGAAACGACAAAGGATGTGGTTGGGAACTCACCGTCGCCGCAAAGATGCCCTTCAACAAAGAATCTAAACCGAGACCACTTAGGAGGCTTCCGAGGAGGTTGAGAACCCCAGCAAGTAGCATCCCAACACCGGCTACGATTTGAGTGAGTGGTTCTATGGTACCAGTTAGATTATCGTTGATCATCTTTGACGTAGCAATATGACTGTGAAACTTACGTCCAAGCGCATCGAGTAGCGGACCAAGATCCTTCTTTGCCTTTGGGAAGGCATCCAGCTTGTTTCGGGCCCATTCGATAGTTCCTCCCACTTCTTCAATCATCTGTCGAGGATATGTTCGAGTGCCCCCTCGTCGACGAGATGAAATTCACTCACCACCTTCAATGCCTCTGCGAGTCTCTGCTCCTCTGGTGTCGCCTTATGAGCCTTCTGATGGTTCTGCGCTCGTTGCGAAATCTTGTTCTCTGGGTCGGCGCCTTTGATCATCCCTTGGGTTTCGTTCATGATTTGTTCGGCTTGCTGCAAGAGCGGCTTGACTTGTTGAACGAGCTCGCTCTCGTTTCGATCTTCTTCTGGGCGGGCATCCATAGCCTCGATGTGCTGTGGATCCCAGATTAAGATTAACGATGCTTGAAACCAAGGTACGGAGGGGTTACCTTCCGGATCATTCTAGTGAGGGGAATCACTCTCGAATTGGCATCTTCAATGAGACGCGAGAGTCGCTCTGCGATTTCAGCTTCCTTCTTTCTCTCCTCATCGCTGCGGTCTTCGTTGGTAGTACTTGGTGGAGGCGCGTTATCAAGACCTTGGCCAAGACGAAAGTCGTGTTCTGACATGTTGTGTATGTGATTAATTTTTCTTGAGTAGCAGGAATGACTTTCTCAATGAGTTTAGAACCGTTTTAAACTGCCGCAGGAGCTGAGGGCTCCGCAACGCGACGCCAGAGTGATATCATAGGATGACCACCATCTGTACGCCACAATTGCGAGTATGAGGCAACTTCTACCGTTTGTTTTCCGACCAGGCACAAATCGCTGTTGTCATGGACCCATATGTTGTTTTATTAAAATGAGCTCATCAGGTACAATCGTCATACTTTTGGAGTCTTTATATTCTGGATAATCTCTCGCAACGCCTCCAATCTGTCGACCCCACTCAGCGCTCAACGTCTACCATGGCTGGCGGCAACTCCCGTTCACCTTCTTCAGGACCTTCCCCAGCTCAACAGCGCTCGCGTCGTCGGGCTTCCCGAAGTCCATCTGTAGCAAGTGACCCTGGTTCTCGACCACCTCGTAATCGTCGTCGAGGAGGGGGACAACAAAAACAAGGCGGCGGCGGCGGTCCTGTTGGTGGACTCCCAGGCGTGAGCGAAGTCGCAGATACTGCCACTGGCGCTGTAGGAAGCGTCGGCGATGCAGTCGGCGGATTAGTTGGTGGTGTAGCAGGCGGGGGAGGTGGAGGCGGCGGCGATAAGCCATTGAAGCTACGTCTCGATTTGAACTTGGATGTTGCCGTGGAAATCAAAGCGCGAGTGCATGGTGATTTGACAATTTCGTTGTTGTATGTGTATTTTGCTTTCTTGGTCATTGACTTATCTCTGAACTTCCTTCCGCAGGCGATAGCATGCTTGGATCACTTGCTTATTGCGAGATCATTTTCAAATACTCTTGCTCGTGGCTGTTGGCTGATTAACGCCATTGCAGCGATGAATGAATACAGTTGGATGCTTATGACACTGCAGGATCTATGGACACCCGAAGTTGTCTACGCCCGAACTCTGAAATTCTAATCACAGCTGTTTACTACTATGTATCTATCGTCCTTCACTGTAATTATAACTCATTCCATTGCATCAACGCCGATATCATTCGGAACATATATCCGGCTGCAAGCCTCGTCAAGGCTCTCCTCATTACCAATCTCTTTAAGGTGGCTATCATCCTTCAAGTATCGAGAAGCCTCTCTCTTTCGGTGGTGGGTTCAGAGAGGAAAGCATCTGGATCCACATGGTAAATGATGGTACAAGTAGCACCCAATAAGCAATATCAACATTGAATACATTATCTGGCCAGTGGCGTGTAGAGGGACTAAACAGAAGTACCGTCACAAGAAATGAGAAAGTTGTTCCAAAATTTTGAGAATCATGACAAGGTGAGTTGAGCTTGCCCTGCTCAACCTGCTTGTCAGCTTGTGTCCGAAACGATGGCAAGCAGGGTGAAGCAGGGCAGGCTAAACTCAAATAACCATGATGAATCAGATCGCTCACAAACTACAGTTTGGACAATCTCTATCGCATTGATGTCTAAGAGGCCAAGTAAGTCTAATTTGCTTCAGCCTGTTATGAAGTAGTTTTTCATGGTCAGAATGAATGATATTGTGTGTAGATCAAATGTAGATACTTACCTTTGTCCATCGACCCCTGTTAAATGAGTTTTGCAAAATGGAAATGGTGATGGAGAAAGTACATTATCAGTGCAAAGTAAAGAAAATGCGGACATCGAATGAGAAGTTGTGGAAGACACGTCAACGGTAAGCAGCGAGGGTGACTCGGAAGGTGGAGGTAGTGGTAGTGAGGAGGATGAAAGAGCGACAGGTGGTAGATAGGTTTCCGAAGAAGTACGAAAAGTCAATTCTGTAGATGCTCGAGGAGACTCAATAGACGGTGCAGGTGATAATAATGAAGGTGGTAATGTTGATAATGGCGCAGATGAAGTGAGTATTGATGAGGGAGGCGAGAACGAATGATAGAAGGAAGAACATGATGAAGCGTGAGTAGAAGAATGCAAACTTTCAGTCGAAAAAGAAAGAAGACCTGAATTTTCAGGTGTAGCGGTTTGCCTCTGTAAATCTGTAGCAAAACAGTCATGGAGATGACCCTCTTCTATGCATACATCAAGATGTGACCGTGATGGCATGTTCGACATTCGAAAGGATGTTCGACAGCCAGAATCAAGTGCAAGAATTTGTTCGAGTTGCCGTTTGGGCAATCGGGTTCGTTGCAGATGATTCTCAAGATCTGCAGACGTTTGCGCTTCCGTTACGCCCGTACCCGAGCTAGCAGCTTCTCTGGGATGCAGTTGTGCAGACGACCGACTCGAGGCAAGGATCGAAGACCTACATGGTACGAGCAAAGGCATGCCTTCAATTCTAAAATTGTTTAAAAATGGTGAAAACAGACCCAAGTGACAGGATTGCCCCGATCGCACCCAATGCGGTGATATATGGCGGGTTCCTTTTGACCGCCGAGACAGCAGGTGCCAATGTGAAGGCAAAAGCCAGAATATTGACTAACAAGACGACCACACGCCGATGGCTACGAAGGTGAGGTTTCCAACTCATTGAATAAAGTTCGAGGTGTGAGAAGGTAGAAAGCAAATGAAACTTTTATTTGTTAAGACGATGGGCAACGATGTTTTTTTGGTTTTGAGGAAATAGAGAGCAGTAGAGATAAAGAGTGCTTATTGTAAGGGATGTCTGCGGAAGCGAGAAAACCTTACTGAACTATACATTTGTGTTCCATACCAAGCTACAGCTTTCATCTCTCAAACGGGAAACCCAGCTCTCAGAAAGGAAGCTGGACCCTGTGAAGATACTGACTTAGTACCCTGAAGACAAAAAAAGGAAGAAAAAAAGAACTCCACCACATTAACTTCCCTGTAGCTTCTCCCTGGTGCCTGGAAACAGCATCAGGCTCATCTTGAACAATCCAAGTTTGCCAAAGGGTACAACTAGGTAGTACTTTACCTTTGTTCTTCAGGGCAGTGAGCTTTGATGTCCAAGTTCCGACAGATGGCTGGCAGGATCCTTCCATACATATCTGTTTGCTGCATAGTTATCAGTTCCTTTCTCCGTTGTTATGTGGCAGAATGATCCTGCTGTACAATGCTTTGTTTTGCCTGTATGAATTTTTAACCAGGAATTTATAGTTGCTTATTTGTCCAATACATTTTTGGGCGACTATAGGTCGGGCTTCGAAGAGCGCCAAAATCCTTTTTAGGGCAAAATATATTGGACAAACAAAGAAATACAAATAGAGGGAAAAGTCTTCGAGCGCACTGTACACTGGCAGACCATGACAGACCAATGTTTGGAAAGAAGGGCCAAGTAGGTGAGTGAGCTTCGAGTGTAATGACGATGATAGATGATGATTGATGCTGAAAACAGGCGGCACTCCCAGTCCAGCAAGTGGAAAGAAGAAAATCAAGGGCCCAGGTCGCGAAGAACGGCACACTGGGAGAGCGATCTATGCTGGTCGGACTGGTCCACGACAAGAAGGGAAGAGCACGGAATTATCTGCGTATGATTTCATTGGTGGTATTGTTGTTTGAGTCAAGGAGCATTTTGGATGGGACTTGGTTTTTAATGATTGCGAATAGGGAGATGGGTCCGAGGATGTGGGTGAATAAATCGAGAGCGTGACCGGCAGCCTGGATATCGAGGAACGTAGTATTGTTGGAAGTGGACAGGGTATATTCATGGTTCACGGGCATGGTATGACCCTAAATGCTGCACGAGACAATCTTACCGCGTGTGAGATTGAAAATTCGAACTTCTGACAAGATCTTGGGAAGTACTACTTCGTAGAGTGGCGTAGATGCTTTGACAAGGGTAGGTAACAAAGTTTCGCGATAAGCGTTAGAGCGCTATAAACAGTGTATACCTGTGTATAGGACTCCACACGAATTATTTGATTTAGACGGAGTTGGGAATCGCCGGTTGGTAGCCGCCGACTCATACAGTCAATGAACATGACAAAGTCCAAGTTTGAGGATGCGTAGCTCTCCCTCAAATGAACAGGCAATCAATCGTCGACCATCCTTCTTAATAGCCCCTCCCGTACACGAGTCAAATCTTGTGAATTCTGCGTGGCTTGAAACAAGGTAAGGCGCGCAAGATCCAGGTTCTACATTATGGCACGTCATTAGAAGATACCGACGAGCATTTTCGGTGGAGGTCGAACACAGGATAGGAACGTACGGCAGGCAATCCACGAAACGCCTCAACCTTTTTTCTCTTTCGACGAATCTCCTTCTCCCGTTCTTTGTTCTGTTCCTGCAGACGCGTAAGATCTGATATACTGACATTCATAGAAAAGCTTGAGGGATTTGTGGAGCTCAATTGAACAAGTTGAGCTTGATACTCCTTCGCTTTGCGGATGATAACTTGTCAGCGACGTTCAAGAGATTCTGCAGTTTCCGTGGTTCCGTTTACGGTTTCAACAGAAGTAGTCTCCAATCCTGTAAAAGTTACCCCGCTCAGCGACACAGTCCACTTCCTCAAAAGCGCAAGTTCGGCTTCTAGCTTAGCTAGGTGTAGCCGTAGCTCTGTTTCGACGTAGGTCGCGCGGTCTACAGAGAGTTTGAGGTTGAGGCGGCGAGTGGAAAGATTGGCAATGGAGTGATTGAAGCTATAGAGCCCTTGTGAGCTTGAGATTGGTTTACTATATCTGAGGATAACGCGTTCGTGAACTATAAGACGGGCTATGTTGTACTTGGCACCGGGTGGCTAGCAAGCGCGAAGTGCTTCCGGGCCTGTCATCCGGGCGTGACTACACCGTCTATACTCAGAGAGAAGTAAGGTGGGTACATCACGTGGAAGTATCTCCCACCTCTCTCAGTCAGCCACCATCAATATTAAATATTCATCAATGTCGCTTCGCGATACGCATCAGCTACCTGAGCTCAGGGCGTAGGGCTGCACCGCGAATATAAAAAGGGCTGCCATGCATTTCAATTCCTTGCTCTGGATTAGCCCCGCATCCGACAGTACTGTAGCACTTGTTGATCAAGTTCTCCTTCAAACACAGAATCATCGGAAATGTCATCGTTCAACACCTTCCAATTCGTGTTCTTCCTCTGCTTCGGCCACCTCTCGGGTGTATTCACGGCTCCGGTACCCAGATGGAATGGTATGTGCCGTGTAGGACGAAATTCGTTCTTATTCAAAGGTTGAGAGTTTTGTCTAGGCAATCATCACTGGTCATCGTCTGGGAGCTCCGGTGAGTTCGAAAGTTTTTTCCGTTGAGACAGTTTATCTTATCTACTATTTTAAGTAACCACAAGCGCGTCTCCTGCGGCAAGCACGACTACTAGCTGGGATATAAGTGTGTATATATCTTTCGCAAGTAATATGCTAAGATCTAATACCCTCTCAAAGACGGTGCTCCCGTTACCATAGTCTCCGTCTCTCAAGGCCCCGCACTGACTCTTGGGACTGGTTCGACTACGGTAGTTGGCAGTTCCACCTACACCGTTTCCCCTGCACCTACTGCGACCACTACAACGAGCTGGGACTTCAGTGAGTAATTGTTTTATCAAAAGAAAAAGGCGTTATCTCATCTCGTTCGAAGATGGCGCACCAGTAACGGTTGTTTCAGTTTTCAGTGGGCCTGTACTTACTCTCGGCGCTACTGGCTCTACTACTACTGTGAATGGCGCTACTTATACGGTTGCACCATCGTCTATCTCAGTGAGCATGTCCACGAGCTGGGGTGCCTGTGAGTTTACGTTTCTTGCTCCTCGATGAATATTGAGCCTTACATACTGTGTTCTCAGCGGGAGCAGTAACAATGATGTCGGCCTCCGGAGGACCAGAGCTTACGCTCGCCGCATCTGGACAGACAACTACCGTGGGCAGTTCCACTTACACCGTTGTTCCTACATCTGTGGCATCATCCTCGGTATCCGTTTCTACGAGCACGAGCTGGGGACCTTGTAAGCTACACTGTGTCTATGTGTAAAAGCTATAAGTCTCAAATCCTTTACAGCCGGTGCCGTCACAATGATCTCAGCTTCAGGAGGACCAGATCTGACTCTCGCCTCCACCGGAGCTACTACCACTATAGGAACTTCCGTTTACACAGTCATTTCACCTTCGGCGCCTTCTGTCAGTACTTCGACAAGCTGGGGACCATGTAAGTCGCTCTTGCTTCCGTTTTGAATTACTCAACGAGCCCAACGCATTTGAAAGCTGGAGCTGTTACCTATATCTCGGCCTCAGGATCGACACCGCTGGCGCTTGCAACCAGCGGCTTCACAACAGTGATCGGCAGTTCGAGTTACACAGTAGCAACAACGACCGCAACGAGTTCCCATTCACCTTCGTAAGTATTTCTCGATGTATATCGCGCAACTCTTTTCATGACTCACGCATATTATTCACCTTCAGGAATGCTGCTGGCTCTCTGCGGCCTTTCGGTTTCTCATCAGTGTTAGTCACGGGGATAATCGCTATGGTCATGAGCACTCTTCTCGGAGGATTTGTTTGCCTTGCATGATCTTTCCGCGCGAATATGTAGATACCACTTGTGGGATAATAAGCATGCTACCTTATCAGATATGTTCCTGTGTGAACAGGAATTGAGAATCTACTTCTGCGGATAAAGTAGATTAGCGCCTGACAAGACTTCTTCTTACCTGCACCATGACATCCGTATTCTCGATTTCTTCGTCTGTTAAGCTATCTACGGGCAAGCCGAACGCATCATACGCAAATCGAGGCTCACTTTTCCTGTAGGCTATCTTATGCCCGTATTAGGCTTTGGAGTGTACCAGAATTACGACGCGAGAACTTCTTGTCTTGAAGCTTTCAAGGCAGGATACAGGTAAGCTGGAGTACCCTATGCCCTTGCAAATTCCAGCTCAATTCGTCACATGTAGGCACGTCGATTCCGCTCAGATGTACAGGAATGAAGCTGCTGTTGGGGAAGCAGTTCGTGAAAGCGGCATCAACAGGTCGGACCTCTTTATCAGTGAGACCCCAGTGAAAATCTAAGTTTATATCTGACTCTGATATTCGGCATACTCGGCATACTCAGCAACAAAATGTGCTTCTCGCAGTCATGGATACGAGAGTACATTGAGCGGTGTAGATGAGTCCTTGAGCAAGCTTCAATTCGGTATAGTACTCATATTCTGAATGAACATACTACAATACCTAATGGAAAGGTTTAGATTACATCGATCTTTTCCTCATTCATGACCCTCTGTCAGGATCAGAGAAACGTCTCGCAACTTACAAGGCCCTGCAGGAATGCAAAACAGCCGGAAAAATCAGGACTGTAGGGGTCTCAAACTAGTATGCGCCTCCTTCATCTTTGTGGGATTGATCACAAACCAGGACATAACACATATACAACAGTAACGTCAAGCATCTTGAGGAAATTCGAAATGCTGGCTACGATTTGCCTGCGGTGAACCAGATCGAGGTGGGCATCGATCATATCAGTCATTCTATTTCAAGAACACTTGTTTACACACGCCTCTGTCGCTAGCTTCATCCATTTTGCCAGCAAAAGCCGATCGTAGAATACTGTCTAAAGAATTCTATCGTGGTTCAGGCGTACTGTCCAATTATTCGAGGAAAAATGGATCATGAGGTCTTCAATTCGATATCAGTCAAGGTCAGCTCATCCTACATAAGTCACCATACCAACGTGCTGAATACCTTATCTGCAGCACAATCATGATCCTGCACAAGTCTTGATTCGTTGGTCTCTTCAGAAAGGGTGTGCATTGCCTCTTGTAGCTTTGATTCTAGTGAATGACTTGAGATTTCCCCCAGTTTTGTACCCCTGCCCAAGAGTGCTACACCGTCCCGCATTCATTCCAATGCTCAGGTGTTTGATTTTGAACTAGATGCAGATGACATGGCGCGCATAGATGCACTTGACCAGGGCAAACAAGGAGCCATTAGTTGGAATCCTGTGGATGCCGACTAGGAAGCATTCTTTACTTCATGTACCATATATCCTACTTGGCAAAATGTTCAATCTTGGAGTGTGTCTTTCGAGGGTGTACTTTCAGAATTATGTGACCGAAAAAGCCTTTAGCGATTTATCTTCAGCATCCTTGAACAGAACATAGCAGAACTCCTTCTAGCTCCACAAGAGTCAATGCATGCATAAGAACTGACCGAGCCGTCCTCTGGATAATTCCGTTCAACGATTTTAAATGTGATTGAATCTAGAATTGCACTTGATGGAGGACTTACCTTGCATTGCCCAATCTTCTCACCATTCCGTTGTCCTCGTATAGATCGGTCTCATTGCGCAATGATTTCTTCAGGCTGGTGAAAGCTTAATCAACGATGGAAATTTGATTGTACTGCACTTCTATGATATCTGGGTTGACAGATATATCTACATCTACGAAATGCGGATTGATTCACACAAGTAATACAATGCTCGAAAACAGCTATTTGAGGGATGGGCCTCTGGTAAAACCGAAAGCCGAATATCTTTGATGGGAAGGTTCAGCAGGTGGTTATACTGTAAGAGCTTCACAGACAGAATGTCAGACGGCGAGTTGGCTGTTACTTTACATGCTAGGTCACAACATTTTCGACCAGTAGGAAGCCAACGAAGGATAATGTGGGTATGGGCACTCTCACTAAAGTTTTCGTGCGCTGACTCAGCGGGCGTCTACTCCAATCGCGTCCTAAATCGTCTCCGAAACTTTTTGAATTCGTTTGGTAGTGATAATTGACCTAAATGACTACTTTAAAGCACCAAACATTATTCTTAAGGGGTGTCATAATCTATAATACTGCTACTTATAATAATCTTCCTCTGAATCATATCCATCTGAGTCAAAGTCATTCAAATCCTGCACAGTGACCTCGGGATCTTCCTCCTCTTCCCTTGGTCCTTCGGAAAGCACAATAGAGGCTCGAGCATCCACAAATTTCTCTATGCAAGAGTGAAGAAGTTTCAGTTTCTCAGTCCGATTGCCCCACTTACTCTCAACCGTAGTAATAGCTTCTTTGACACCATGAATCTTATGCCATTTCAGTTGCTTCGTGATTTCCGGTACAGTGAGATATCCACTCGATCCAACTGCCAATGAAGTGCGAAAATCAAGCTCGGTTACCGTCTGGATTGGTGAAATCGCGTCAATTTCGCGTGCAGCTTTCCTGTGTCTCTCCATCCGTTCCTGCTGCTTTTGTGTCTTGTCCTCCGCAACCCGCTGGCGATATTCCGCGAGCTGAATTCGCTGCTGGCAGCTAGACCCTGAAGCATCCTGAGTGCGTGTGATTTTTCGAAGCCATTGCCGCATTTCGGGACTAAGACTGTGAAGGAATTCAGCAGTCTGATTGAGTTTGAACATCTTTCGTGCGTTGTACTGAGCAAGAGAAATGGTTGGTGTAGCACGCGCAGCCTGTCGATACATCCCAAAATCAGCTTCATTCAGATCATTAGTCTTCTCCATCCAAGCACTCTCTATCTGCTCAGGTGTAGCATTGGCAAGAGCACCACCGGGAAGAAGTTCAGCACTGAAACGAACCCAAAGTATTCGGGCACTCTTAAGGAAGTGTATAAGAACATCCTTCGAATGAGGAAGATTGGGTGCATATTTTTGAGACGCGTAAAACGCTTCAGGTCGTTCCCAAGCGCGTCCATCAAGGGAACCCATCTCAGCTGACGCGTTTGGTCCAATCAGATATTCCGGATGTTTTATCAACGTGTCGATGTGGTCAATTACGCGTTGATGGAGAGGCCCGAGCTTGAGTACATTATCTTCGGTAGCATATGGACCTCTTATCTCGCGCATGTAGGGGACACTGATGGCAAGCCAGTAGAGAGTGATGGCAATGAATTCATAACGCGTCGGGATATCTTGGAGACCATCGAATACATTCTGTTCCATGTGGTTTAGCTTTCCAGATCCCTTGTTCTGCTTCACGTATGTGAGGAACTCAATGAATAGGTCCAAGTAAGTAATGATTACAGCACAAGCTTCTGCGTGGGACTGGAAACGCGTGTTCGATGTGTCTGGGAAGGATATATTGAAACCGAGCTTATGGTCAAAGAAGAATCGCAACGTGTCCTGTTGTCCCCGTTTTCTATCCTTGTGTCGAAAAATCGCCCCCGCCAGACTGGCTACTTTGATAGCTCCTCGTTCCGAACGTTCAAGGGCTCAATCAGCCGCCTCGGTTCCTGTAGCTTTACTGATAGCGGCAGCATTATCACGATTTGGTAGGAGCTTTGGTGGATCGAGCTCTGGATGCTGCTTCCAAAACTCGTCTAAACCAATGCACCCACCCTTGAAGGCATTCATTTCCTTGTGCATGCAGCACCCAGCCCATAGAAAGAAGTCAACCTCAGCCTTCTCTGCTTCCGAAAGTTTTGCATATTCGGCTTCTCCCATGTCGTGTATAATCTGGTTCCGCATAGCTTCAAGACGACGCGAACGTTCTGTAGTAGTGAGTGCTTCCCAGGTAGCTGGTCCGCCAACCTGTTGTACAAGTGTTTGCGAGCCTTGGAAAATTAGGCATGCATATTCCAGGTCAGTGAGCCGTTTCATTGCTCGTTCTCCACGTACTTCACGGTCACATTTTTCTTTCCACCTCCTGAGCAGCTCGAAAAGTTTCTTCTGGTCTGCAGCATGGTCAGAGTGGAAGCCAGTGACAAGGTTCCAGAAGATACGGGCATCGTCCTCCGAACACATTCCACTCTCAAAGAGTAAGTGGAATATATCTTCCAAAGTCTCGATCCAACATCCTAACTGGGTTTCGCTAGTGTGGTTTATGGCCATCTTCAGCCCAAGGAAGAATTGGAGTTTCCGGTCAGCTTGGATAACTGTTGCGTGTTTGGTTTCGTAGGTTTCATTCTTGTGAGTGGTCCCATCGCTGGATATAGTGACCCCTTTTGAATGCAGTTTAGTGTCTATAGACGTATATAACACGTATGAATATATATACCTTTGCTACTCGAGTCAAGTACTGCTTGTCCAATCTGCAATTTTGAGGCAACACCTCCCTCCTTCGTAATCCGACTCACTGTTCGCCTCGAAACCTCCCCTTCAATATCAATTCCGAACACAGCAGCGATCCGTTTGAAAACTCGCGTCACTTTGTTTGCTGGGACTTCCTCAATGGCTACGAGGTCGAGGAAGATATCACGAGTCTCATCGGTGACAATGCCGTCCTGCTTCATGAAGTATTTTCGTTTCTTGTCCGCATTCACATTATATGTTTGCGCGACACGATTTATTGCTGTACCCAGGCGGTGTGGTATGCGGCCAATTTTTGCTTTTAGTGCATGTATTTTCTTCTGGTGCTCGCATAGTTTGTCCATTAGTGTGGCCTGTATCACATTGTGTGCCTCTGCCTCAAGTTTGCGTCGCTTCTTCTCCCTTTCCAAGTCATTCTTCAACGTATCCACTTCTTTCTCTGTTTCCTTGTTTTTCTCCTCATTTCTCTTCTTCTCTGCCTTTTTATTCCTCTCAACCTCTCTCTCCTTCTCCTTCTCCTCCTCCTTCATGCTATTTCTCTCCTCCCTCAATACTGTTGCTTTCCTTTTCCAGTACCCAGCCTTTTTTCGAAGATTTTCTGCATTTCTCTCTACCTCAGCCTTTTCAGCTTTTAGGACCTCAACATCATTCTCCTTGTTGTCATCTTCTTTGTCATTATCGGCTATGGTGGAAGGAGGAGGGTTCCCGGTGGATTTTCGTCGAGCAGCATTGGCAGCAGCTACTCGAGCCCTTCGATCCGCCTTCGAAACCTTTCGTTTACGCGCTGAGCCTAGCTCAGAAGCCTGGTCTAACTCGCGCTCTAGCTTCTGCATCAATACGCAAGTGAAAAGTACATCTTCGAAGAGTGTGGTGAGGTCAACGACGCGACTACGACGCGTCAGGTCTGTGCTTAATGGGCGCTTAGTTACTTTTATATTCATTTTTGAAATCCGCGGCCTTAATCGAATAAACCTAGATTCTGTCACAGCTGAGCTCCGAAAATGGCTGGAAATACCTTTTTCTAGCAAAACGACTCGGATGGTCAATTGTTTTTTTGCACTTGTATGGTTACTATCTCTTCTATCAGCTTCTAAGAGCATAAAAGCTTTCATGACACTTCAATGAATGATAAGTATTGTGTTTTTTTTCGACAGAACGAGTTGAATTAGAATTTTACACATTCCCTATCGCTAAAGTACACTGTCTGACCAAGTGGTCAGTCATGGAGAAAAGGAATGCTACCTTTGGCGAAGAGGTGGCTGTGCTGTGTCAAAGCAGGTTTAACGTGAGAACGGAAAACTTGGTAGGGGATTGCCCACACCCAGATAATGGGTCTTTGTGGTCATATACGGGAATTCTAGAACATCCGCTCGCACGGCTTGGAAATATTGAAGGTGATAAGTGCGAGCACCGGAAGAATGCAAGTAAGGCTCACAGAATTGCCAAGGCACCTTGTAAACAAGGTGTGAAGCCGGCGCTTATTGAACTGTTTCTCTTTTGGTGACCTATCACCATTCCGACCTGCTTATGATATTCTTGTGCATTGTAAGCTCACCATGAACCTCTAGGAGAAATAATGGACAGAATCTTCGAAACTAGGTGCGTTATCATATGGCCCTGACTGCGCCCATGCACGTCTCAATTTATAATGAGTCAACATGCCACTCGACAGCTTCAAGGCGTCAAATATTCTAGCGTCTACGTCTCTTGACCAGTGTCAATGTGTACAATTTTATCACTGGCGCTGGTCTTTCTTCATGCAATGCCTTGAAATACGTATAAAGGTTGGTGAAGGACTTTCAAGACCACTCAAGGAACATTTTCTGTATCTGCTATTGAAGCTCTATTTGCTTGCGCTGACACAAAATTTTGCGCTGAATATTGGAATATCCATGGATAAGCCTGTAAGTCATCTGATTCATGCTCTTTCAGTTGCCACTTATGATTTTCTTTTGCGCTCAGATCGAATGTTTACTGCATAGAGATAGAGCCCTGCTTGCCGAGTATGCAAATGTTTGTCTGGAGAGTTTACCAGACAAATGTAATGCTTGGTCTTCTACATATCGAGGACTTCATAAGGGCCGCTCCATTTGTGTGAAAGTGTGGCGAGGAGAAGGGCTTGTATTGCCTTCTCAAGAACGGACAGGATTTTTCCGAGTCAGTTATGTGCTCTTGTGAAAGATTCTTTGGTGTCCAAGCTGATTCCGTATTTTTGCATACAGAAACTCGAGCAAGAAGTTTTTGCATGGCAAGTCCTATCACATCCGAACATAGGTGCCGTGCATGGGTTGTTATTTACCCTCAACAACCTACCTTCTGTGGTTACACCATACTATCCCAATGGTGATATCAACTCCTATGTATCCAATAATCCGTGTATAGATCTAAAAGCTTTAGTAAGTCTTTTCGGTCATGCCTCGACCACATTGTCCACTAACGCTCAAGTGTTTGCTACCTCCGGATTCCTAGGTGTTGGGCGTAGCAACTGGACTGCGATTTCTTCACCACTTAAATCCTCCAATATCCCATGGTGATGTTAGGGGTGTGAGTTAAGAGTACCACTCTTTCCTACATAGTACAGCATGCTCATATTGCCTACAGTGTAATGTCTTTATCACAGATGATGGTGTCCCTGTATTATCTGAGATTGGCTTGAGCCTCTTGCCAACTCCGCCCGACTGGACGACCCCGAGCAATGATGGTACACGTTGGATGGCTCCTGAAGTTATGGATCCTCGCTCAATATCTAGCTCTAATTTTGACTGTCTGACCACACCCATGAGTGACGTATACAGCTTTGGTATGATGATGTTAGAGGTATGTACATTGCTGTGCCGTGTATTTCACAGGTGTCGAAATTACTCCTGACATGTATACTTAGGTATATACCGGCAAAGTCCCATTTTATACGCGTCACTTCTATGGCCGAGTTGTCTTGGACATAATGCAAGGGATGCGGCCTTCCCGCCCAAAAGTGGAGGCTTGTGCTAGTTTGACGGATGAGATATGGCACACAATCGAAAGCTGTTGGGCACAGGATCCTTTGCAGCGGCGTGAGTGTTCTTTCATTGCATTATATAGTATTGTGACTCTACTTGGTATTCTATAGCCACTATGGAAAGTATCACCTCGTGGTTGCAATTGATAATCCATTCTGAATCAGCGGAATATCTGCAATCAGACTAGTCTCTCAAGCTCAAGGTGTAGCCAAAACAATATTTATATCATCTGGGCAGGTTGTGTACACTCTTTGTGTATTTAATATGTATATCCTGTACAGGGCATATCTCTTTGAATGATCCAATGAAGTAGAATTGAACTCAGTCAAGGACATATGCAGTTTTCATCCTTTTTCATCAGAGATATCACCACAAAGTGAATATCTTTGGTGAAGTTGCACACTGGGACCAGAAAATATCTCGGAGATCATGTATTCATTATAAGTAGTAGCATCCTTATTAGTCTCACTGAGTAAGTATTCTCGGACCCTCTAACTAGATTTCTATATCATAAAAGCCAATCAGTATTATGAAGGAGCAGGAAAGGGATGTGGAAGTGTGTGATACTAACCATCAAGATAGTCAATTACCAGTTCTCCATCCAAAACATCGGAATCTTTAAAAGCTTCCATGAGTGCCTGAAGCGGTGGACCGGCCATATGCACTTCAAGTCCATTGACTACAATGATCAGATAGCATCCGTCAGTAGGCGGCATTATGATAATGAGGCAACTGCTTTATATTCATTCACTTACCACCGTATTCTTCCTAGATATTGAATAAAGACACAAGATTACTGAGCATTCTATGATGACTAGAGGCAATTAAGGACTTACAATGACTACAAAGTGTAAGACCTGGGTCGGAATGGGTCTTATGGTAGGGATTGGTATAGGAGAGTTTATGTTGTAGCGTGCTAGGAGCAGGCTGGAGCTCGAAGGGAGCTACAGGTGTTGAGCAGGCAAGGAGTGCGTAGTGGGAACACTCTCCAGTACCATACCTGGTAGTAGAGCTTAGTGTCTCAGTGAGGCAATAAAAGTAAGAGAGAAGCGAGTTGGATTCCAGTACAGGATATGGCCTCTTTATATACATAACTGTATGACAGTATTACATAAGGAAGTACAGAGGAATCCGCATATAGTAAATGACTACATATGACTACATATGACATATCATAACACATGATCATATTAGTGGCATGTGAACAGCATAGCCGCGTTCAACACACCCCCTTGCTGAGCAGCACAGTAAAGTACTTTGCTCGAAGCAATAGCGGTAGGCGTCAGGCAGGGCGGACAGCCTAAGGATTGGTGGACGAGTAGAACTCAAGTCCAAGCATTGAGCGGAATAGCTCAAATTTGATGTGTCCAAGATTCTTTGTGAAAAGATCTGCAGGGTTGTTACTGCCATCTACGAAGAATACCTGCACAAGGCCACGTTTGACAACTTCACGGATATAATGATACTGGATGTCAATGTGTTTCGAGTGCTTGCTAGTGACAGGATTTGATGCCATGAAAATGGATCCTTGATTGTCTCCAGCAATAGGAATAGCGTCAAGCTTATAGCCTAGTTCTTCAAGTAGATTACGGATCCAAACCACTTGATGGCTGCAATCAGACAATGCCATATACTCAGCCTCTGTAGACGAGTGAGCGATTGTCTTCTGCGCATGGCTGGTCCAAGAGAAGATGCCATTGGCAAGCTTCATGAAAAATCCAGTCTGTGACCGGCATGTATAAGGATCGGAAGCCCAATCCGAATCAGTCCAAGCGCTGAGACCAATATCTGATTCACCGTCATAGCAAAGTGCATATGATCTAGTACCTAGGAGGTAGCGGCAAATATAGAGTGCCTTGTTAAGGTGCTCTTGAGATGGGTTAGCTGCATGTTGTGCAAGCTTGGTAACAGCAAAGGAGATGTCGGGACGTGTGCCCAACATAAGGTAGAGAAGGGAACCAATAACCATTTGGAACTTGCTACGAAGAGCGGAATTTGATTGGCCTTTGGTGGGTTCGGGTTGGAACCCTGCAGGAAGTGGTGTATCAGCCATTTTAGCATTTTCCATACCGCAACGCTTAAGGACTTTGTCAAGGTAGGCGCATTGATCAATATAGATCTTTTTGCCACGACGATTAATCTGCATGCGAAGGAATTCTTTGGCTTCACCAAGATCTCTGCATTCCCAATGTGACATGAATTTCCCTTTGAGGGAATCTACGAGTTTCTTGTCAGGTCCAGCAAAGAGTGCGTCATCAACATAGATGATGGCGATGACTAGAGAGCCATCTTTTCCTCGTCGGACAAAGATACCTGCATCAGAGCTCAGGCGTTTGAAGCCGAGTGTTTTCATGTATGAGTCCAGTGTTCGCCACCAGACAAGACCTGCTTGTTTCAGTCCATACAGAGCTTTGCGCAGTAAGAGGACTTTATCCTCTTTGCCTTTGATTCAAAAACCTTCAGGCTGTTCCATGTAGATAGTCTCATGTAAGACGCCATATAGATAGGCATTTCGAACATCGAGTCCAGTGAGATACCAGTTGTTCAGCGCAGTCAAGGCGAGCAACAGTCTAACAGTCTCAAACCGTACTACAGGAGAGAAGACTTGGTCATAATCAAGACCTTCAATTTGTGAGAACCCTTTGACAACAAGGCGTGCCTTCTTACGACCATCAGATTTGATGTCGAAGACCCAGCGGTTCTTAATGACCTTTTGGTCTGCTGGACGATCCATGAGTTCAAAAGTACTACGCCGTTTGAGCGCTTCAAGCTCTTCTTGGCAGGCCTTAAGCCATTCCTCACGCTCAGCCTTAGGTAGGCGAGTAATGTCCTTGTAAGTCCATTCACGGACGTTCTCAGAGCTTTTCAGCTCCCCCTCAAAGGGAACGGCCTTAGCCATGAGAAAATATATTAATTCAGCTCCCCCTTCCCAACATAGTCTGATCAGGGTATTAGCTTCGTCACCGGGAGTGACAGAGGGTTGTTCTCCATTTTCAGGAGTAGGATGCTCAGTACTAGGTCCGGGAACCTGTTCTGGCTCAGGGCATTCTTGCTCAGCCGAGGAGCTACCTGGCTGTGGAGCTTTAGCGCGTCTCTGAATATCCCTCATTGGTCTCTCTACCTGTTGTTCTGTAGGAAGCTTACTGCTGCTTCTAGGGTCACCGGTAAGACGAGTAGGTGGTCTCCCCACACGACCTGAACGTCTCAACTGTTCTTCAGCAGGAGGTTGTTCATTCCGGTGACACGCCTAAATTTTGGCTAGACGTCTATATTGTGAATTGTGACATTTTCACGTATAGATTTGTATCGAGAGGACTGTAATTGAGACCCAGATTGACAGTCAAAGTCAATACTGAATCAGTCTAATAAGTTGAAGGGACCATATACCCATACTACCACAAGTTGGTTAGTTTACCCATCCCCGATACTACCTTCGGATAGCAGTCTACCTGTTTGTCAAGCAGGATTATACCAGACTCGGACTACATCCGAAGGATGACCATTCACGTATGACATACCAAGGGTATTCTTATTGGACCTTACACTGGCAGGAGTTTGGAAGAACTTACTCAAGTGACCATAAACCGAGGATTGACTCGAAATGACTTTCTAGAACTCAGGAATTATCAAATACTCCTTCTAGAACGAGATCATGCATTAATCCAAAAGACTGCGATTTAGTCTAATTGACCAATCAAGTTGCATGGTTGAGGAAAATGACTAGAAGAACGATCGAAGTACTGCGAGGCTCCGAAGGCATATCAAATGAATGTCAAAGAGTCCTGACGTAGAAAATATTGAAGAATACAATTAAATGAATACTATGCGTAACTCCCTTGATAGAGTATAGGCACAATGGGTGTCTATTGAAAGAGAGAAGCAATTAGTTTAATCCAGATGAATCAGATTGATAGGATTAGGATCGAGGAGAGCTGATTTGCCTCCGGACGAGGTGACAAACAATTGAAGTAAGTGTTGAACAGCAATGACAGTTGAACACCATTCAAGTCATCTTCCAAAAAACAATTAAATTAAATGAATATTGAAGTACCTACCTATGTTTGGAGGTATACTAGAATCTTGGAACCAATATGGACCAAATAAGGACATGTAGATTCAAATTAAATGGTATCTGACTGAGTGTAGAAGTTTCCTTGCGGTTCCGAACGTTTATTGTATTAAATTAATTGTACTATGCGACTCTATATTCTGTATGTATAAATAGCGATCCGATGTATCTGGAATACAAGTGATTTTGGGACGACGTTGCAGTGCTAATCCGTAAAAAGGAAAGACACACTCCCGCCAGACTGAAACCTCTTCGCTAGCAGCCATTCGGGCCCGGCACTTGTGAGTATAGGAACGTCGTGTTCTGCTCCTTGTGACTGCGAGAAGTCTATCCAGTTGTTGGGTATTCTTCGAACTTAGGATCAGTCGTTGGTCTTAAGGGCAAATCACGCTGTGTGGTTGTGCCAGCACATAGTTCTAGCCCTCCGTAGGGGTCTGTGTGTTTCGGTTTTAATTTACTTTGATTCAAACCCCCAATTCTTGATATACCCAAATCAATACAAACCACAGCACAAATCGTGTTGAATCTACCTTGATCAAAGGAATATATCAAATCCTTAGAACGATTCAAATTGATTGATCAAAGCTTCTTACTTAGCTCTCAAAGCTTTGCGGAACCTTTGCCAACGCTACCCCTTGCTATTAAATAAATTTGATAGCAGTGAACTCGCATATTGTGTATTAGATTGGTTGGTTGGAGTGCCCATTAGATTCCTTCCTTTCTCTTTCACACAAAAACGAGGCAAGCTCGTTACCGGGGTTGTGGCGGCGGACTAGGATCTTGTGCTGGCTGTTCAGCTGGCACAGGCGGTGCAACGTCTTGCTCCGGATCCTGTCTCATTTGGGGAGTGGTAGGTTGATAAAAGATGGGAACATCATCATTACCAGGTGGAGGAATAGGATCTTTAGGATCTGGGTTGCGATCTGGTAGTCGCGTAGAGCGATGACGCTCTGAGGATTTACAACGAGGAAATAATTTCTCGTCAAACACAGCGTGCGTAGCAGTGAACATGGCATTGTTCGACCGCATGTAGATATTTCC